GATCGGATATTTTTCACAGGGTAATAGGAGACATCGTACTGTCCAGGTTTCTTTGCGAATGATCCTCAACCGTGTCGTTTTAAGTATCTATCATATATTTGCAAAGAAATGCAAAGAATCGACCATCCGTACATCAGCGATCTGAACGTCGAAGGGGAAACGTCGAGATGTGAATACTTTGATAATGAAAGCGCCAAAATCTACAGCAAACAAACCCTATCTTTTGAATTTGTGTCTGAACACACTTATTCACATGAAAAGCTGCACAAGTTGTCACAACTTATAGATTTGCATGTATGCATGTATTTACAATTTATACATTGATTGACAGAAGAAAAATTGAGAAACGTCTTTATTTTACCAATGCTCACTCAAACCTTTCTTTGATCATTCTTTGGTCCAAGAGGCAGCTAAACGTGGGGACCATAGAGATAGTTACATCCTTATCTTCAAAGGTTCAGAACAATTTGTGGAAAATGAAAACACTAGTCATCTGAAGTTTACTGAGAAAACACTAGGTGCAATGCTGGACATCCTCATTGATAATATACTTGTAACATTTGGGGACAGAATATTTGAGCAAGAGGTATGGCTTCCTTGTTATAGACTCCCCCATTGCTGATCTGTTTATTTATGCATATGAATCGGAATTTCTGCTCGGATCGGCAAACTTAAAACATAGGAATTTCGCCATGAAGTTTAACTTAAATTTCAGTTATAACGATAATCTGACACCCTTCAATAATGGTCAAATAACCAATTCTCTTTCACTGATTTATCCCCCTGAACTAAAAATAAAAAACACCAGCTAAAAAAGCCTGTGCATAACGATTGATGACAAGAGGGATGACTTAAACTTTCAAAAAGTCAACTTTCATTTTATGTCGAACGGTATTCCAGCAGCTCCAGCTGTGTCTACAGGCAGTGCTTTTGAGGTACCATCGGGCATACGAAGATTTCAAAGATCGTCATATGACTCTTGCTCAAAAGTTGTTTGATCAGGATCACGAAATTTTGCGAACATCTGGTAACACAAACACATTATGGTGATATGGTAGGAATCGTACGATGGATTCTGCTTTCAGCAGAGATTTCTTCTGACTATGGAAATGGTGTGATTTACATATGTATAAGGTGTTTTCTTTGTTATGAATATGTGATACTGCATTGACAACTAGTATCAGAACAGACATATTTCATTTTTAAGAAGTAAACTATTAACTCTGGATAATTCAAAACTGATAAAAATAAAATGAGGTTTTACATTGTTTGCCCCATTGGCAATTTTTAAAATAAATTTCTAAATAAACATTTTTTAATTACATGTACATGTAATTTCATTTAGTGCTTCTCACTAATGTCTTCGTGCGTGCTGTTGCTTCTTGTTGGCTACAAATGTAAATACTTACTTAATCACCAAGTAATCATCAGCATTATCAGGACCCTGTTCTTCAGCGGGAATCTGTTCAGTCCCTCTGTTTCTCAGCGGATGGGAACATTGTGGCCTAACTTAATTCATGTCTGCTTTTCAGCAGAAACTTAGTATTTTGCCGCTGGCAACATAGTTGCCCCTTGCTGCTGCTGCTACTGCTTGCTGCTTGCTGGTAACTCAAGTTGCCAAATATACTAGTAACTCATTATAATAATAGCTTAGGGCAGCCCACAAGTCGTGCCACACCTATGACCTTGAACCCAACATACGCCTTTCTTAGTTCTCTTGCCTTGTCAACTTTGACAAGGTAGGTTACTTTGCATGGGGTGTTTCAATAAATCATAATATATTTAAAAGGCACTATCACCATGACTATAATCTTATTTCTGAGACCATATGAGAAATACGGTGGAAATGAACCAAACGTCCTGTGAATAGAAGCGACAAAACCCTTTCCATATTCATAAGATATCTCCCGATTGTACGATTCCGAGTATGTCATGAGCATGTGTTTATGAATCACCATCAAATAGTGATGATACCATGTGTCCGCGAAAAGGTGAGCGTATCCTGCCCCACTGGTGGCACCCATCACAAACACACGCAAAAGGGAGTCAATTATCTACCTGAAAACAACAACAAAGGAACGCATGATATATGTAAAAATAGGGAACTGCATCGGACATCATTTTTGTCACTGATGTGTCAAATTTGGTAATGTCCTCCACATATCAACGCCAACACTTTTTGAAAGCTTTACTGAGGCCATGAATGCTGTAATCTTGATCAAACAAGTTTTGGAAATTTTGGTAGAAAGAGCATGCTCGATTGTACCTCAAAAGTTGAAGTGTAAACACCAAAGGCTGGAGCTGCTGGAATACTGCTCGACATGAAGGGATAGTTGACTACTGGAAAGTTAAAGTTATCCCTCTTGTCATACAGCCTTGTGGGGAGTGTTTTGTCATGTATAGATCTAAGTATGAAACAGATGAGGCGGTCTCATTGATCTCTTTTATTTCTAGTTCAGGTGGGTAAATCAGTGGAAGGGAATTAGATATTTGATGGTTATTGGACGATACCAGATCAAGGATATACCTGAAGCTTAAGTTAAACTTCTTGGCCAATTACCGTGTTTTGCCTTTGCTAATCCGAGCCGAAATTCCGATTTATATGCATAAGGAAACAGATCCGCAAGAATGGGGACACAACTGGTGCCTTTGGGGATGTCTTCTTCTCACCTAAATGTCTTAACCCCAAATTTTACATAGGTGTAATCCATGAGGAATTTCAGCATTTCACATATTGTTAATTCAAAAAACTTCATTTGCTTTCATTTTTCACAAATTGTCCTGAACCTCTGAATATAAATACGTAACTGTATCTGTAGTCATTACGTTTTGTACCAAAAGCCCCATTGATCAAGGGATGAAGTTTTTCCTTAAGTTTGTCATGTGGGATAGTGGTTTACAAAGCAAACCTTTTGAGTTATAGAGAATCCACATGGTATTAATTCCACTTGTCTCAAATACTTTCTGTGAATATAAAGAAAGTCCTTCCTTGTTTGTATTACAGAAGGGGATATAAATTGGTGCCTACATCTTGCCTAATGTCTTGCCCCAAAATTTGACGTAGAAGTTATCAATATTGCTTTCTCAGTAAACTTCAGATGACATTTGCAATAATTTTTGACATATTGTCCTGAAGCGTTGAAGAGAGAAACGTAACAGTATTTGTGGTCCCCACGTTTTGTAACAAAAGCCCCATGGATAAAACAATAGCACGAATATTGGTACTCGGCAACATACTTTACACTCATGAAAGAGTGAATGAGTAAGTTTGGTTTAACATTATTCCATGTATACCACAGCATGTCTGGTTACTGCAAAAGGGAGAAATGATTCAGGCCACAGACGTTTATCACTTTGGTAAAAACCCGCAATGAAGGGTGTGATGTTGACAAACGTGAATGACCGGGCCACCCTTACCCTTGCAGCACATGGGAGAATGAGCTCAATAATCAGTACTTGTAAGCCACGCAATGCAGTAGCTACCGGTACGATTACTTCACAAATATGCGATGCTGTCTAGACACTTGGAATTCAGTGAAGATACGAATGACCAGCAATCAGTATGCTCTGTTGAGTATAGTCTGGTTATGTATCATATCCGTTACTTTAAACTTTGCAAACTTGCACGGAACGTTGTTTGATTAAAACTCATCAATGTTTGAGAGTTCTTTTGGCTCGTGCATTTTGCCTTCGCCAACGTTACGGATACTATACTGAACCGCAAAAGAAACGTCCGACGCCATTCAGCTGCCATTCTGCTGGAGGAAGTCTCTTGTTGCTCTCGCAGTGTTGGCACGGGCGTTATTATGCTGAAACTTGCGGCGACGTCAAATGAGGGGTGGCGTGTGGTCCCAAGACTTGATCAATATACCGAGCTGCTGTGACACCACTGCCTCTCCCTGGACCGATGTTCTGGAAGACCACAAGGCCGACCCTCTGTGCAAGACCAATTCCACGCCACACCATGATGCTCGGACCACCCCATGAATCTCTCTCAACAACACAATCATCCGAATAACGTTCCCCGCGGCGCCGCCAGACTCTCTCTCTACCATCTGCTGTTGAGATACAGTAACGGATCTCGTCTGAGAAGAGGACTCTTCTCCACTGCTGGTGGCGCTAATGCTGGTGCTGTGACTGAAGACGGTCCCGGCGATGACGTGGTGTCAGAATGGGTCCTCGGTGTGGCCTGTTACAGTGGAGGTGTCTGCTCGTCAATCGTCGACGCACGGTGTCCGCACTAATGTGTCGCTGGTGTGTCCCCATGGTCTGTCGAGCAGTTTCCGCAGCAGTAACAAAGCGATCTTGAAGATGCTCTCGAACCATCTGACGATCCTGACGTCGGGTGGTGACCCTTGGTCTTCCACTACGTGGTCGGTCATCTGTAGTGTTGGTGGTCTGGTGCCGTTGCTGGGGCCTGCATATGGTCCTTTCGTGGACGTGAAATGCATTGGATACTTGCCGGGCGGTTTGTCCAACTTGCAATCGTCAAATGGCTTCGTGTCGCTGATATCTTGTCAATCTTGGCATGTGGTAGCAATTCAATAAAGAATGAATGTTATCCGATCTGTGTGGATTTTTATAGGGCAAGAAATGGGAGAACGCATGTGCATTTCAATTTGCACGAAACTCACGTGCATCGGGTTACCATGGCCGTTATCGTGAAGCGTTTGGGCGATCGGTTGTATTGTCACCTGTTTTGGTTTTTTTAATCATCAAATTTCATTTTCCGGACAAGGTAATGTTAAATTTTAGAAACTTTCACAAAAAATACCCAGATATTTAAATGACAATTTTTCATGCAATGTTACTTGGGGTGACGTTTTTTGCGGTTCAGTATATGATAACTATCCCGATTAGAGAACTTTTTGACATTCATAATTACTTCATAAAGACAAGGAGTGCTATAGATAACAACTTCCTTGTTATGCATATATACGTACAACGCTTCAGCGACACTTCTTGTCCCTTCATCTGATGAATGACAATAATAATAAATATAAGGCATGACACATTTTATTTGACGTTTAAAAGATATGAAAAGGTACGTCAGAGTGCAATTAATTCAAAATACGAATTAAATTTCCTAGGATTAAGAATGTGAGAGTTGGAGACCTTAATGTACACCATGTCTCCTGCGTTCAGTATCTCATGGACTGTAAGATCGCTGTATCCATCACAAGACCAGTCGTGACAAGGGGAGGCTGATACAGTAGTTGACTGCAGGATGGCCTCCGTCTGTGATGTAGCGTCGTATCTGACGACCTGGTGGGAAGCCTGGGTTCCGGAACTGACCCTTGGTATGCTGTAGCCCAGGTGACTCCTGATGCGGTAACGACCTGGGCTGGAGATTACCAGATGCCCAGAACCATCATAGTCCACGTTCTCTAGGAAGGTGAGGCTGCTGTCTTCATCCCAGTGTCGTAGTGTGCGAGGACCACTTTCTGAAACACAAGGCTCATTCTGTGTTTGCTCTTTAAAGGAAAACTGTTTTATTTTGATGGTCTGTTACATTATTGTCACTGTTCGGGTGTTTTTTATTTATTTCACGGTTACATTAATTTGTGGCAGAGTTCAATGTCGGAATACACCTAATCTGGCCAGAAGTGGACTCATAATGTCACACGTTCTCTTGAGAGATAAGAACTATCGATTGTAAATAAAATTACTAAATTACTGAATATCCATTGTACGATTCCAACCTTATCATGACCATGTGTTCATGAATAACTATCAAATAGAGTTGTCACCAAGTGTTCGCGATCGGTGGCACCTGTCACAAACACATGCAAAGTCGATTGTTCACCTTTTTGTCAGGACGTGGCGCCCGTCACGGACACATGCAGAGGCAAGTCAACTATGCACCTGAACCAGACAGGGACAAATGGTGCAAGTCAAAATGAGCAATCTAATTTCAATATTATACAGACCCTTCTTCTCATTCACTCGTTTTAGTCCAGACAAATGAGCCCAAATGAATGTATTCTGGCAAGAAGGGCCTTCTGAAACATGAAACAAACTATTAAAAACTGTCTAATACTTGATTTAAAATTTGAACTTAAAATCTGAACTTGGTACCCAATGTCTGCATCGGGGAAGCCAAGAGGGTACTACAGTAAACTACGGTTATAACGAACTCAAAGGGACTACTAATTTTAGTTCGTTATAACCGTAGTTCGTTATAAGCATATATAAAGCATAACTACGGTAAATAGTCGGGACCAAAAAGTAAGTTCGTTATATCCGTCAGTTCGTTGTAAGCGTGTTCGTTATAACCGTAGTTTACTGTATCGTCAAACTGTTTCAAGCCTACCTCATGTGCAAGTCTCTGCCTGTTCGTGGACGGACGCCATTACTCCTATGTCAGCCTTTTTGGAAGAAAACAATGATCAATGATAAAGGTGTTAATCTATGACTTAACCATCATGTATGTATTTGTTATTTAAACACACAAAACATGTATGGTGAGGTATAAACTGAGGATGTATGTATTGCTGTATCTCTGTGCTGCTCAATATAAACGATTTTGATGTTGACTTATCGCTACACAGAATTGGGGACTGTCCCATACTGTTTTCCTAATAGATTTCCGATCCAAATCTGCTTCACGCTTTTTCTGCTTGGCAAAGGGCATGCGTCCTGATCTATCGACAAAGTTAACAAGAGTCACCTTCTGAGACAGTCGCTTGAAATAGGAATACTTATATTTTAGATCGTGCAGCAGTATATTTACTTTGAAGCGGGACAGGTAAAAAATATTTATGGTGATGGCGGCAATAATTTTCTCGCCCGATAAGGACATAAAAAATTGCACGATCAAAAATATATGTACGCATATTTGATGGCAAGTGATTTAAGACGCGAATCGTGTTGCAATTTCGTGGGATTACTATTTATGTATATTATGGCAGTGGGGTTAGTGCGGCATGTTCCGAATCGGGTATCCGTTAGGAAAACACTACGGGACACTCCGAAGTTCTGTGTAGTCAATATCGAAACATTTTATGGGGAGCAGGACAGAGATACGTTTATCGCAGCTACCTCGCAAAAGTAATATGTACGTATGGATATACGCCTTTATATATTTACTAACGACATATAACATTAGATCGTTATTGAACGTCTATGGAAATTGCTGTTATAAGTTGTAGCTGCACAAAAAAACACATATACCCCGAGTGATAATGATACAGCGAATCTATTTTACCGATATGTTTCAATCTGCCATTGTAAAAGAATTAACCTGATTCAAAATTGATTGGAAAACGCGCTTCGATTGAGCAGAAGTTAACTTTTGCTGTGTCACGCGATGCCATTGACTCGCAAATAACGAACGATTTCTTTGCTTCGGTGGGGTATGAGGGATTTCTTCTCCCACTCAGAAATTTATTTCACTTTCAGGCGGAATAAATATATATCCAGATCACGTGAACCTATCAGATCACAAGATCCTGACATAGACGTAATATATTGTACAATTGTTGGATATGTGCCAACTGATCTATTCGTGACCCTACTTTGTTTTCGTTTTAACGACCTTACTTAGATCAAACATAGTTCGGAGACCGACAATCACGGACAGACTATGAACGCGTGAAGGATAGGCACACCTTACCAATACACCTTGTAATCCCGTAAGTAATTAGTGTCATTTAGCCCTACATAGGATATGTAATACTATTCATATGAATAACGACGAATGGTTGATAATTTGCTATTTGTTGTACCATTTGGCATGTGTAAAAATGTTTGTTAGAAACGAGGTGATACATATATACTTCATCAATACGAATGTCTGCACGAGCGCTGTCATATATCGTGACATATACCTTAATTTTTAATCTAATCCATTAATGAAAAATATAATTCTTAACTCTTTTTTCGCGAAAAACATAATTGGTTAATTACAAAGTGTTAACTGTCAGTCCAGTTAAAATAACTAACAATCATCTAAACCTTTTGAAATATCTGTATAGAGAGGACATAGATAAGATCACCTATATCATCACCATGTCATCATGAGTCATAAACACATGCTCATGATAAAGTCGGAATTGTACAATGCAGAATTCTTATGATAATCGAAATGGTTTTGTCTCTTTGACACTGCCTACTGGCATGACTGACTCATGCGACGCCACCATACTTTTATCTTTGTACAAGTGGTTAGTTAGTGACTGAGTGAGTAAAAATTTAACGTCGCAACATTATGTCAGCCATATAGCGACGACTACAAGTTTCAATCTATATGCACGATCATGTGTAAAAGCGAAAGTGCTCGTCGTGTATAGATTAAAAGGTGGGATAATTTCTCGTTGACTCAAGGATATTGGAATGATTTTATGAAATGGCAACCACTTTGCGGGTTTTATAACAATACTCGTTCACCCTTAGCATATAATTCAATAATATTGAAGCAGCAGCAGATATCCACCCATGTACATTTTATACCATTGATAGCAGCTGTTGCTCTCAGCCATTTTAGTGTCATCCTAAAGGTATTGATTAGCGTATTTAGTATTACTTTGGGAGAGTTCATGACATAGATATGACTTACTATTATGTGTGATGGCAGCAGGAGCAGATACAGAGGAAAGTGACGAGCGCCCATTGTCCACTCAAAATGGCGACACTCGATTCACAAAAGGCATGCATACAGCTTCAGCGTGAAGCTATGCTCTTTTTCATCTACAAAGTACCATGATGATTTGGTTGAAATAATATGCTTTTAATTCATTTGAAATGAAAAAAATAGCTTTATTTTCATCCTTCAGTGTCGTGTCACGTTGGTTCGAGATATTAGGAAGGCGTGATCGAGGAAATGACGTCACAAAATAACATTATGTACACATGAACAATATAGTACTCGCAAACTGGACAAGACCTTGCCATCACGGAGTAAAGTTCTTAAATTTACCTATTTCTTATGTTTGATGATTCAGATTTGACAGGCGGTTTTATAAAATTACGACAGTGTACAATTACATTAATTGCTAGAACAACTGGAAATGACGATGTCGTATTTCAAAATATCTACTAATTCATAAGATTAACATATATTCTTAAAGTCTAGAATATTGACAGTTGATTCCCGGTACTTGCTGAGTGTGTTGAATCATGATCCGATGTCTTTCTGCTGTCCTGACGTTGATGCCAGATGGCGCTGGAGGTTGTATAATATGAACGGTTGTTGTTTGTTTGAGGCAAGATGCAGCGTTGTGGGGTGTCTTCTAATGTTAATGCTCGGCGAGTTAAATGACCTTCTTGACATGGGCTGGTTTCATTTGAGTGTTGTGATATTGAAGTTCTGCTGATTTTAGACCTTATAGTAATTTCTCTGTGGACTTGACATACGTGTCACGTTGGACACGTGCTGGTCTAGATAATATTCACGTCGCCTATTTCTATCATGCGTAGTGTCTGAAGGGAATCTAGCAATCTGATTTGTTTCTCTATGGTAAATGTGATGTAATGATGCTGATTGTTGTGATTGTCAAAGAACGCCTCGGGTCAATAGGCTCAGGTTAGTTGGCAATATCTGTAGTCTAATTGTTGAAATGGACACTTTGAAGTCCGATATGCGCCATTGGAGTTTGGGTGCCCTTACCTACTTATACCATGGTCAATATTCATTGTAGCAAGGCACCTCACATGTTTAAACACCATTGTTTTGATGACCCTATTTGAACGATATTCATGAACATGTTCAAAAGAACAATGTGTGAGTCTCCACTCAATACACGTGAAATATGTTCCTTGTGTCTTTCGCTATTGCACTTCTCCGGTTCTGAAATTATGCCCGTTTTTGTGAAAGTATAATGATCGGTTATATTCACAAAGGTGTGTAGGCCAGCTTCCCATATCGCATAGTGTTACAATAGAAAGTTATTTTGTCCTATTTCAGCAGTTTCTTAGTTGTGTTGACTTATATACATACATTGTATGCTTCTTTAAAATATCTTCATTTTTACAGGACACGAGCGTATTTATTTTATTTATAGAAGGATTGACACATAATGTTGAAGGTATATAACAATGCCTGGTGGAACAAGGATATAATGGTACTCATCTTTAAGATACAATTTCTTACACAGTAAACATACTGTCTCACTTCTTGGCTGTCTTGCAGTATATTCCGGTTTCAATTCTTGACTGATGGGAACTGCATCTAAGTTTTGAAAGACAATTTCTTAGATATATTTATTATATTCAGATACATTTCTAAACCAAATGACTTTTTATACAAAGAACAATAAAATCAGATCTTAGTTCTCGCTACCGCTAAACAAAGATCTGAGGTCATCACATTTTGGGTCACGTCAGAACGACCTCACATCAGACCAATCAGAGCGTGGCTTACCAGATCATGAAAGTGACAGTCAGAATGTGATTTCTAATCATGCAACCTCGAAAACTTCAAGACGGGTTATCAGAACGATAGTTACGGGCTTAACGACTGAATCCATTCAATCTAGACTATCTATTAGTCATTCCAGAATGTTCTTTTGTTCAGGTTTCAAATTTTGATCGAGAATTGTCAAAATATGTTTCGAAGCGTACACGCCAAATTGAAATTAGTGCCCTAAAGCACCCTTCTCATTGGCTAATGTCGACTTCTTGTCAGCCATTTCAATGGTCGGTCAAAGTTCTCGCAAGGTCTGTCTGACGTGACCCGTAATGGGGGTGTCCTCAGATCTTTGTTTAGCGGTAGCGAGAACTAAGATCTTATTTTAATGAGATTGATACAAAGAATAACTACACGTTTTTGAAATTTTAGAGGCGTCATGCCAATGTAGTTTGTAGGAAGACTTTAATAGAAATAGAAATTCTTAAATGACTGAGAATGTAAAGACAGATTGGTGTTCCCAAATATAACCAAAGCCGTTGCAGTAGAGCAGGTGATTATATTCATCGGAATTCAGTGCGGACTTCCCTAACCACTTTGGGTGTTTGTGAATCCACATGGTATTAATTCCACTTGTCTCAAATAATGTCTGTTAATAAAAAGAAAGTCCTTCCTGGGTTGTATCACGGATTGTGGTTGATCTTTGGGGCAGGGATTTTGTGGTACATTTGCTGGACCCAGCAATATATCGATCTTTGTACGGATTTAATGGAGGCTTTGGAATCCAGTACAAAAGGGGAATGGACAGGTTTTTAGGTTAAGTCAAACGTTGATGGGCAGATTTCTTCCTCAGTTAACATACTGGCCTTGTATGCGGCATTACTCGATATGTCATGTTTGTGTTTGTTGTTTAACGCCTCACTCAGCAATATTCCAGCTAAATGACGGCGGTCTGTAAATAATCGAGTCTGGACCAGACAATCCAGTGATTGACATCATGAGCATTGATCCACGCAATTGGGATGCGGTGACATGCATCAACCAAGTCAGCGCGCCTGACCACCCGATCCGGTTAGTCGCCTCTTACAAGTATAGCCGCTTTTTATGGCAAGCATGGGTTGCTGAAGACCTAGTCTACCCCGGATCTTCAACAGTGATATATCATGTAGTGATGCTTACATATATTGGTAATGTCATTTGCGGCCTTGAACAACTACGAACTTTTCATGTAGGACAGCCAGACTTTGGGTGACAGCTGTATGGGACAGAATGGGTTTATTCCAATGTTTTGGGTTTTTTTAGCTCCAAAAAAAGATCAGTCACATGTGATTATATGACCTACATAATGCACGTTATGATTTGGAAATGTTATATTGCCAATTCTTCGGTGGTGGTTTCCTAGTTGCTGCTGTCCTGTACGAGGAATGAGGGAGTTGGGTTGGGCTTTTTACAGGCTGGTATTCCCGTTTTGTCATGACCTGTCAGCTTGATGTGGAAGGAAAGCCCGAAGTGATGTAGGCCTTAGACGTTTACCACTTCGGGGAAACCCAGGGGCACAGGTTTTGTGCTGACAACCCTAGAGCCGTAATAGGGGCGAACCGGGATTCGAACTCAGAATCATAGTTTTCCAGCGTGCCCAAGGGACGCAACTTTGCACAGCGCATTAAGGCGCCTCAGACGACAGGACCACTCGTGTCCCCTCCTGTCCGAGGACATTGAGATGACGGAATAGTGGTTAATCTTGACACACAGAGAACACATGGTCTAAATGTATACAGGAAAATGCTAAAGACGGCGGATGACACGTGACAATCTCACATAACAATATCTTGTAAATCATTAACGTTATAATGTTTTGTTTGTTGTTTAACGCCGCACTCAACAATATTCCAGCTATATGACGGCGGTCTGTAAATAATCGAGTCTGGACCAGACAATCCAGTGATTGATATCATGATCATCAATCCACACAACTGGGATACGATGACATGCATCAACCAAGTCAGCGAGCCGGACTACCCGATCCCGTTAGTCGCCTCTTACGACAAGCATAGTCGCCATTTACGGCAAGCATGGGTTGCTGAAGACCCATTCTACCCCGGAACTTACGATATAATGAACAAAAGCAACACGAAACGATAAAGCAATATATTTTTATCTCCATCTCCCTGATGGCATGCCCTGTGCTATATACAACTGATGAACATGTTGCAAAACGTTTTGTGTCTGACAAACACAAATATATGCCACACTGGACGAAGCAATACCACATGGTACAAAAATATAAATACAGGCAATGCATGTTGCAATGGCAAGGTATTGAGCTGTGTCCCTCAAATGACAAGATTCATCACTTTGATTCTATATGATAGATACATTTCATTATCTGGTTCATAATGCTGTAAGAGTTACATATCTGGATGAACAGTGCCATCTTATGGTTTGTGGTAATGTTTGTTTGTTGTTTAAGGCAGCACTCAGCAATATCACAGCTATACAACGGTGGTCTGTAGTGAGTGAGTTGGGTTTAACGCCGCTTTTAACAGTATTCCAGTTATATCGCAGCGGGTCAGCTTAATGTGGGAGGAAAGCCCGAAGTGATGCAGGTCTCAGACGTTTACCACTTCGGTGAAACCCACGAGCACGGGTATGGTGCTGACAAACCTAGAAACAATCGGGGCGAACCGGGATTCGAACCCACAATCATAGGTTTCTGGCGTGCCCAAGGGACGCAACTTTGCACAGCGCATTAAGGCGCCTCAGACGACAGGACCACTCGTGTCCCCTCCTGTCCGAGGACATTGAGATGACGGAATAGTGGTTAATCTTGACACACAGAGAACACATGGTCTAAATGTATACAGGAAAATGCTAAAGACGGCGGATGACACGTGACAATCTCACATAACAATATCTTGTAAATCATTAACGTTATAATGTTTTGTTTGTTGTTTAACGCCGCACTCAACAATATTCCAGCTATATGACGGCGGTCTGTAAATAATCGAGTCTGGACCAGACAATCCAGTGATTGATATCATGATCATCAATCCACACAACTGGGATACGATGACATGCATCAACCAAGTCAGCGAGCCGGACTACCCGATCCCGTTAGTCGCCTCTTACGACAAGCATAGTCGCCATTTACGGCAAGCATGGGTTGCTGAAGACCCATTCTACCCCGGAACTTACGATATAATGAACAAAAGCAACACGAAACGATAAAGCAATATATTTTTATCTCCATCTCCCTGATGGCATGCCCTGTGCTATATACAACTGATGAACATGTTGCAAAACGTTTTGTGTCTGACAAACACAAATATATGCCACACTGGACGAAGCAATACCACATGGTACAAAAATATAAATACAGGCAATGCATGTTGCAATGGCAAGGTATTGAGCTGTGTCCCTCAAATGACAAGATTCATCACTTTGATTCTATATGATAGATACATTTCATTATCTGGTTCATAATGCTGTAAGAGTTACATATCTGGATGAACAGTGCCATCTTATGGTTTGTGGTAATGTTTGTTTGTTGTTTAAGGCAGCACTCAGCAATATCACAGCTATACAACGGTGGTCTGTAGTGAGTGAGTTGGGTTTAACGCCGCTTTTAACAGTATTCCAGTTATATCGCAGCGGGTCAGCTTAATGTGGGAGGAAAGCCCGAAGTGATGCAGGTCTCAGACGTTTACCACTTCGGTGAAACCCACGAGCACGGGTATGGTGCTGACAAACCTAGAAACAATCGGGGCGAACCGGGATTCGAACCCACAATCATAGGTTTCTGGCGTGCCCAAGTGACGCAACTCTGCACGGCGAATCACGGCGCCTTAGACGACTTCGTCACCCGTGCCCCCAACGGTGGTCTGTAAGTAATTGAGTCTGGACCAGGCAATCCAGTGATTGATATCATAAGCATCGATCCCCCCAATTGTGATACGATGATGTGCATCAACCAAGTCAGCGAGCCTGACCACCCGAACCTGTTAGTCGCCTCTAACAACAAGCATAGTCGCCTGCTATTGTAAGCATGGGTTGCTGAAGGCCTATTCTAACCCTATGTGGTAATGATAATAACGATGCTACATACAAAGTGTAGATCTGATGTATAGAGGACTAGTCTGCTGGACCAAACCAATGGATGTTTTGTACATGGATTTGTGCTTCACAATTTTATACAGCATGGATGTTTCTGCATGACATCCTAATAGACCAGTTGGTTATCGGTTGTTATCTTGTGTCTTGCACTCTTGGAAATTATGACTGCTTTATTAACTATAGGCCAAGTGAGTGAGTGAGTATGGTTTTACGCCGCTTTTAGCAATATTCCAGTAATATCACCGCGGGCTTCACACATTGTACGCATGTCGGGAATCGAACCAAGTCTTCCGAGTGAAAGCTTTAACCACTAGGCTACCCGACCGCCCCCTATAGGCCAAGAAGATAGGAGCGTGTGCCTCTCTGGATGAACCTGCCTCACTTCATTATTTGTGAGGGAGTTTCGTTTTATGCTGCTTTTAGCAATATTCCAGCAATATCAGGCAGGGGAGACACCAGAAATGGGCTTCACACATTGTACCCATGTGGGGAATCGACACCGGGATGGGTGGGGGAGCAAACGCTTTAACCATTAGGCTACCCCACCCCCTCGATTCATTATTTGTTATTAAAAGTGTAAATTGATTTGTTTCTTATTTAATGCAAAAAAACAAAATTATTTTCGTGCGAGATCTCTTCTAAAAGGCAAGTCAAGTGTTCACTTGACTTAATGCCGAGTGCCAGGAGGGTAACAAGAAGTACCATCATTTACGTGTTTTCCAATCCCAGACCTTCTGCTCTACCACTAGAGTGAGTGAGTGAGTGAGTGAGTGAGTGAGTGAGTGAGTATGGTTTTACGCCGCTTTTAGCAATATTCCAGCAATAACACAGCGGGGGACACCAGAAATGGGTTTTACACATTGTACCCATGTCGGGAATCGAACCCGGGTCTTCGGCATGATGAGCGAACGCTTTAACCACTAGGCTACCCAACCGCCCCTCTACCACCAGACCATAGAGGCAGTCCATATATGAATGAAATAAATAGATTGCTCTGAATGTATCCCAATACTAATAACACAAGAACCAGAGCTCTTCCTGCCATTATTGCAGCTAAGTATGTTCACCAAAGCATTCCCTCATCCTGCATAATCCAGTGCATCATATCTCTATTTTATCTTCATAAACAACCTGGGTCCATTTACCACAATAGCCTCATGACAGAAGTGACATCACCGCCTCCAGTGATCTTATCTCTTGTACAAACCAAAGCTTTCCATGGCAACAAATGGTTCCAGGGTATTTTCATGGGAAACTTGAGACACAAGATACTGCATAACAGAGGAGGGCATTCCGACAATGAAATTGTTAGCAATTACACAGAGCAATGGGCAGGACATTACCTTCACATAAAGCCTGAAGCTGAGGATATATATTCATGCATCAGTACTTTACATTCTGATGACAGCAGAAATCTGAATGTGGTTGCTGTAAATAACAGTGAGTTGCTGCAATCTATCAATCAGTTCACACACAATTTCACTGAAACTATTGTAAACAATGTTCAGGAAAATTTGAATAAAATCAGTAAAATAGATTACATACATAAGTCCAGATATACAATGAACACTTTGTTGATATGGTATTTCCATTGTCACATGCTCACTTTGCCTTTGGGTAAAAAACCCATCGAGACTCACTATGGCATGCACATCCCTCTATAAAGCTGTTTATTTTGGAAAAAAAGTGTGTACTAAACTCAAGAAAATAGGTACTTTCCCCAAGTGTTTCCTTAAAGCAGAACCAAGCACCATCTTGTTCATGAAATGCGTGTGCAGTACACACAGGTGTATAGTCAACAGTAGCATGAGCAGCCGCGACAGGCATATCCAGGATATACATCCAATGTGCTCTGAAAGGTGATCCCTCATTGACCAGAAACATGTACCTGTGTTTTAATGCAGAAATATATAACATGTACAGTCTTGATTATCCCTCGAAAAACGATTCCATTGGACTTATAAGGTAAAATACAGGTGAAAATTAGATGAATGGATCATTTAAAATTAGTGATGACAAAATGGATCACTGAAAATCAGTGATGACAAAATGGATCACTGAAGATGACAAAATGGATCACTGAAAATCAATGTTGACAAAATGGATCACTGAAAATCAGTGATGACAAAATGGATCACTGAAGATGACAAAATGGATCACTGAAAATCAATGTTGACAAAATGGATCACTGAAAATCAGTGATGACAAAATGGATCACTGAAAATCAGTGATGACTACTGGTGTTGACGAAGAGCACCTGCAACTCACACAATTAGGAATGATTGGGAGCTTATTAAGTTAATATCTGAGATTCAAACAGAACATCAAACAGACTAATGTTATTACAGATATAGCCTGATAAGGAAGATGTGGTTGTCAAATAATGATATACAACCATGAGTTAACATATATCGCACCAGTAACATTCGTTGTACTTGTTCTAGGATTCGTACATAGAGCAATATCACAATGTTTGTATGCAAGAAAAGGCTCTAAAAGTAAGTACATTGGCGTTCTTTACACTGAAACATGAACAGGACAACACTCCAACAACATATCTTAAAGCAACAAAATGTAGTTTAGGTTTCTGTTGACTGCTTCCTCATAGAAGGTGAAATGTACATAATCTCATTAAAATCAGATATATATTAGTTCTTGCTACCACTAAACAAAGATCTAAGGACATTACATTATAGGTCATGTCAGAACGACCTTTAGAACTTCGATCCAACCCATAAATGACCAACAAGAAGTCGCCATTAGCCAATCAGAAAGCAGTTTTTCGAGCTCTATGGCACTCGTTTCAAACTTGCAAGTGTGCATGGAAAATATTTTGACGAAGTTCTCTATGCAAAATTTGAAAAATGAACAAAAGAACATTCTGGTTTGTCTAATAAATGTCCGAGATTGTAAGGCAGTACTTCCCACGGGCAATGCAAAGTCTCTTCCATTCAAGTGTTTATACCATTAAAGCGAGGTCAACAATGATTTTGAAAGATTGAGTCATAAAGCCCAAAACTGTCGTTAGGAGTACCCTGTGCTAAACTTTTCAAGGGTACATGATTAGAAAACACATTTCGTCTGTCACTTTCCTGATCTCAAGCTCTGCTTGGCCGGATGAAAGGTCGTTCTGAGGTGACCCATACTGGGATGTCCTGAGATCTTTGTTAAGCAGCACTGAGAACTAAGATCTGATCTGAGATTGAACCTGACCATGCTGACTCTTCGATGGAATTCACCAGTACCAACGCTTCACAAGTCATGACAAGATAGGCAACTGTCGGTCACTTTCCAGGCTCTTCTCTGAGCAAGAGCTAAACTAGGAACATTTACCATTTTCCAAATGAACAAAAACACAAACACAACAGAAAGTAACAGCAAATACTGGCATGCATATGTCATCTGAATGTTCATGGAATGGTATAAAATATAAATTTAGAGGGTCGTAATCTTCAGCAGCATACAAACAACATGATATCCAAGTCCTTGGAATGGCCAAAAATGGCCAGCTCCAAAAGGGATAGTTCACACCAGTATGTGTGGCCGACATGACTTAAATCGCATGTTGAGTATTATTTGTGGTTTCAGTCTTCATCCAGAGATCCTTTGATCCTTGTACGTATTGATTCTGCACATAAACAGTCAAAAGCCAATTTTATTGTCTTTAAGGGCGATGTCATGATCTGATATTTATTTGCGACTCCAAACTTCTGTTTCAAAAGGTCACATAAACATCAGATTCGTCTTCTTAATAAACCGCACTGCGCATCCTAGAACATGAGTCATCTCCCCTTGCTTCGTCCTCTTACACATCTTCATCTGACACTTTCTGCACTTCATATTTCCGATTTCCAGTCGTTGTTACAGTTATGATGGGATTTGTATTTTGGTTCTTTGGTTTGGGTGAAGGGGTGTCATCGCCTCGATTCAGAGGTTCAAATCGTGTTGGTAACCGTGGTGATGAGGGCTTACATGTAGGTCTGTACAGCTTGGTGGGGTCGGTTACTGGTGTGACTAGAGAGGACTTGAGTATTGGTGTAATGACTGGCTTGTCTAGGACGATGCTGGCAGAGTGGGGTTCGGCTGCCGGAGTACCGAAGGAGCCTCGTCTCCCATCAGCCATCTTGTCTGCAGGCCTCATGGGCCCACTGTAGCTGTGAGCACGCGGTCGCCACTTTTGAATGTTGGGAATAGCTACCATAGAACTGGGCTGTATCACATACCTGGGGAAGCCAGAAAAAAAGAAAGATCCAGTTTATTTTAATACAACAGAATTAGAGAAGAGGTGAATGGGGTTTAACGTCATGTTCAAGATTGTCACACTTATAAAGTGCCGTCCATGCATGTATATATGTGGCTGCTTGTACTATTTGGTGCTGGTCCACTGAGATACCATGCCTCAGTTTAACATGGATACACTACTCAGACACAGCATACTGATTCCATACCAACCAGTCCATGTTTTATCCCGTAGTGCTGAGTGCCAAGCAGGGTAGCCACTAGTACCATCTCTTTATGTCGTTTGGTATAATGTGGCCAGTAGATCGAAAAAAACAATTTCCCGTTCTCTGAGAAGATTCAGCCCTATCAACTTGACCACAGAGGCGGTCAACGGAATGGGAGGTGGACTAGTCACCTGCCATAGGACACCAACACATGCGATCACACCAAAGGATAAAGTGTAACACTACTGGCAACCTTTAGGAAAAGGGTTAGCGATGGTGTAGAAGGTCATACACTATATCCCCTACTTTGAGTCGGCATTTAGGGGAGGGGTTAGCGATGGTGTAGGAGGTCATACACTATATCCCCTACTTTGAGTCGGCGTTTAGGGGAGGGGTTAGCGATAGTCTAGGAGGTGATACTCACACTATATCCCCTACTTTGAGTCGGCGTTAAAGGGAGGGGTTGACGATGGTGTAGGAGGTCATACTCACACTATATCCCCTACTTTGAGTCGGCGTTTAGGGGATGGGTTAGCGATGGTGTAGGAGGTCATACACTATATCCCCTACTTTGAGTCGGCATTTAGGGGAGGGGTTAGCAATGGTGCAGGAGGCCATACTCACACTTTATCCCCTACTTTGAGTCGGCGTTTAGGGGAGGGGTTAGCTATAGAGTAGGAGGTCATACTCACACTATATCCCCTACTTTGAGTTGACGTTTAGGGGAGGGGTTAGTGATGATGCAGGAGGTCAAACTCACACTATATCCCCTACTTTGAGTTGACGTTTAGGGGAGGGGTTAGTGATGGTGCAGGAGGTCAAACTCACACTATATCCCCTACTTTGAGTCGGCGTTTAGGGGAGGGGTTGGCTATGGTGTAGGAGGTCATACTCACACTATATCCCCTACTTTGAGTAGGCGTTTAGGGGAAGTGTTAGCGATGGTGTAGGAGGTCATACTCACACTATATCCCCTACTTTGAGTCGGCATTTAGGGGAGGGGTTAGCAATGGTGCAGGAGGCCATACTCACACTATATCCCTTACTTTGAGTCGGCGTTTAGGGGAGGGGTTGGCAATGGTATAGGAGGTCATACTCACACTATATCCTCTACTTTGAGTCGGCGTTTAGGGGAGCGGTTAGCGATGGTGTAGGAGGTCATACACTATATCCCCTACTTTGAGTCGGCGTTTAGGGGAAGTGTTAGCGATGGTGTAGGAGGCCATACTCACACTATATCCCCTACTTTGAATCGGCGTTTAGGGGAAGTGTTAGCGATGGTGTAGGAGGTCATACTCACACTATATCCCCTACTTTGAGTCGGCGTTTAGGGTAGGGGTTAGCAATGGTGTAGGAGATCATACTCACACTATATCCCCTACTTTGAGTCGGAGTTTAAGGGAGGGGTTAGCAATGGTGCAGGAGGCCATACTCACACTATATCCCTTACTTTGAGTCGGCGTTTAGGGGAGGGGTTGGCAATGGTATAGGAGGTCATACTCACACTATATCCTCTACTTTGAGTCGGCGTTTAGGGGTGGGGTTAGCGATAGTGCAGGAGGTCAAACTTACACTATATCCCCTACTTTGAGTCGGCGTTTAGGGGAAGTGTTAGCGATGGTGTAGGAGGCCATACTCACACTATATCCCCTACTTTGAATCGGCGTTTAGGGGAAGTGTTAGCGATGGTGTAGGAGGTCATACTGACACTATATCCCCTACTTTGAGTCGGCGTTTAGGGTAGGGGTTAGCAATGGTGTAGGAGATCATACTCACACTATATCCCCTACTTTGAGTCGGCGTTTAGGGGAGGGGTTGGCGATGTTGTAGGAGGTCATACTCACACTATATCCCCTACTTTGAGTTGGCGTTTAGGGGTGGGGTTAGCGATAGTGCAGGAGGTCATACTGACACTATATCCCCTACTCTGAGTCAGTGTTTAAGGGAAGGGTTAGCTATGCTGCAGGAGGTCATACTTACACTATATCCCCTACTTTGAGTCGGCGTTTAGGGTAGGGGTTAGCAATGGTGTAGGAGATCATACTCACACTATATCCCCTACTTTGAGTCGGAGTTTAAGGGAGGGGTTAGCGATGGTGTAGGAGGTCAAACTCACACTATATCCCCTACTTTGAGTCGGCGTTTAGGGGAGGGGTTAGCAATGGTGTAGGAGGTCATTCTCACTCTATATCCCCTACTTTGAGTCGGCGTTTAGGGTAGGGGTTGGCGATGTTGTAGGAGGTCATACTCACACTATATCCCCTACTTTGAGTTGGCGTTTAGGGGAGGGGTTAGCAATGGTGCAGGAGGTCAAACTCACACTATATCCCCTACTTTGAGTCGGCGTTTAGGGGAGGGGTTGGCGATGGTGTAGGAGGTCATACACTATATCCCCTACTTTGAGTCGGCATTTAGGGGAGGGGTTGGCGATGGTGTAGGAGGTCATACTCACACTATATCCCCTACTTTGAGTCGGCGTTTAGGGGAGGGGTTGGCGATGGTGTAGGAGGTCATACTCACACTATATCCCCTACTTTGAGTTGGCGTTTAGGGGAGGGGTTAGTGATGTGCAGGAGGTCAAACTCACACTATATCCCCTACTTTGAGTCTGCGTTTAGGGGAGGGGTTAGCGATGGTGCAGGAGGTCAAACTCACACTATATCCCCTACTTTGAGTCGGCGTTTAGGGGAGGGGTTAGCGATGGTGTAGGAGGTCATACACTATATCCCCTACTTTGAGTCGGCGTTTAGGGGAAGTGTTAGCGATGGTGTAGGAGGCCATACTCACACTATATCCCCTACTTTGAATCGGCGTTTAGGGGAAGTGTTAGCGATGGTGTAGGAGGTCATACTCACACTATATCCCCTACTTTAAGTCTGCGTTTAGGAGAGGGGTTAGCGATGGTGTAGGAGGTCATACTCACACTATATCCCCTACTTTGAGTCGGCGTTTAGGAGAGGGGTTAGCGATGGTGTAGGAGATCATGGAGGTGGATCTGATGCTTTTCTCACAGTAATCATCTTGACTGAGGTCAAGACTCTTCAGCCGATTCCTGATGACATCAGCAAGGTTCAAGTGGTCTGAGTGTTGGAATCCAACAAAGGGATTCTTGTGGCTGGAATGACTCAACTTTCTTGTGCAACTGTTTGAGCTAGTCTGAAAGACAGAAAAATTTCAGATTAACATGTAGTTTGGAGGAATCAAACATGACAGCAACTGAAATACACTTCCCTTTTCTACTTGTGTATAGGTTTGTTCTTATTCTCTTCTCAGGGCCGACCCTTGAAGATCCAGGTTAGAATTGGTCTTCAGCAACCAATGCTTGCTGTAAGAGGCGACTATGTTTGTCGTAAGATGCGACTAATGGGATCGGGTGGTCAGGCTTGCTGACTTGGTTGATGCATGTCATCGTCTCCTAATTGCGTGGACTGATGCTCATGATATCAATCACTGGATTGTCTGGTCCAGACTTGATTATTTACAGACCGCAATCATATAGCGGGAATATTGTTGAGTGTGGCGTTAAACAACAAACAACAGTTATCCATCATAAGTCTGCAAAATATTAAGTGCAATCATTTAATCAATGTAAAAAGATATGTGGCTTCCAGTATCAATGTAACTTACGTCCGAAATGTCATCCCTTGTCTTCTGTCTCTCTGTTCTATAAATAGCAATGGGGATTTCCCCTGTGGCTGTACACAAGCCTTGGTATAATTCTCCATATGTTGGGAACCGTGTCACCGTGGTGTGCCGAACTCGAATCTGAAATTATCAGTTCATTATCAGTAACATACAAAATTTAGAGAAAGGTTTTCATCAAAATACTTCTATTAGAACTGGATTTGTAGCAACAATAATATGTATATGTATTATTCATGATAAATGGCACCTTGGAAACTGAGGCTTGTTAGTTATGACATTGAACAAGTAAAAGAATAAAGTTTTAACTACAAATTTTGAGAGCCTAAATCAACAAACCACAGATTCATGTGAGTGAGTGAGTGTGTGAGTGAGTATGGTATTACGCCACTTTTGGCAATATTTCAGCAATATCATGGCAGGACATGTTTCACGTACCACACTCAAAATTGTTTTTTGTTGTGGAGTCTCCTCAACAGGGGAAAAAGGCTGTTGTATTCTAGAAGTAGAGTTTAAGCCAAAAAGAAATACTTTATGATCCAGAAATAATGCTTTTGAATATTGATCATATGAGAGATATGAGCCTCTTAGAAAGATGAAACATTCAATACCAAACTCACGCTAGAGAGATGTCCGGAGTTCTCCTCTGCATCGATGCCCAGCAACAATCTCACAAATGTGATCAGGTACCCTTTCACGAAGGTCTGAAAATGCAATAAAAAAGGTTACATTTCCTATGGACAAAGACAGGTAGGCATATTCCTTTATACCATGGCTGTAATGGTCATATATATTAAAACCAAATTTACCGTATTCGAAGTAATAAGTGCCCAGGGCGCTCACAAAATTAGAAATAGGGTGAAAAAAAAAAGAGAGCTGAAAGATCGTAAATTTCATGATTTATGTTGACAGCCTGAAATGATACATAAGAAAAGTTTGTGCGTATTATACACGACAGATATATTTTTCCAGAATTTAATTGCCCATAATAAAGGGTGCATATAACACACAAGTGCGTATTATACACGAATAAATAAGTTTTGTGTACATTGATCAATTGGAAGGGGTGCTAATTGGGATTGTTCACAAGCCAATATATTAGTATATATCGCCGTTGGCGCTTATTACGTTGTATACGGTAATTCGACTTGTCATACAAATGCAAGAGAACATAAGGGTAGATAACTGACAGCTGAAGGGGAAGGTCACTTCCAGGGAGAACGGTCAAAAGAAAGGATTGACCGGGTTCTAAGTGGTTCTAGAACTAAAGAAAACTGACACAAAACTTTACTTAACCCAATTCCAATTGCTCTAACCTGAGTGAGTGAGTGAGTGAGTGGGTGAGAGTGCCATCAGTCAGCTATAACACAACAGCCTGTAAATAACTCTGGCCCATGTTAACCAATGACCAAAAACATCAGCAACGATCCTTGCCATCAGGGCATGACATCTGCCAAGTCACATTCATATTAGTCAATTCTTACTAAAAACCAATTGTACCCCAAGGAGTGCCTTGTGCATGATGCAGAGATCTTGCCAGAAATGTATAAATGAGAGGAGGTCCCCACTCTGAGTTCTAGAAGGGGAGATTTCCATTCATAGTCATAGCGAAGATCATAGATGTGTTTTTCTTAAAATACTGTCAATACATACTGACATTGATTCTGGTTATAAGCAGATTGATGTTACTAAATATATTGCAGGAATTTCCTTGAAATCATTCACTTTTGTTTTAGTAGTGAAAAAAATTACTATTAATTACAATTACTTTACTAAAGACAAACTACTTTGTGATTCATTTACATGTACTAATATACTCTGCAAAAAACATAATGCAAAAGTAGTAAAATCGTAAATATCTGACAGAGTGTTGCCGACATCCTTACAAAATTGATACCAAAAACGAATTGGTTACTTCTGCATGGATTGGGATTGATTTGTGTTGATGAGAATACAACAGAAATTAGGTACGGCAGAAAAATCAAAATAACACAATCACGTGAGAGCCTGGTGCCAAAACAGACTAACATGACATGCATGTGCAACATAATTTGTGGGGCTATAAAAGCTTTGGGTATTCTTTTTTTATGCTATTACAATCTGACATCAAGTGAACATCGAAAACATGCAACGACTGACGGAAGTCCAATGCCATCAGATGACTGCAAACAGGAGAATCATCTTAAGCAACAGTTGATTACCATCTGTTGATTATTGATATGATGAATAACATATACATCTAAAATCACTTTTGTGTTTCTTGTTTTGCAGAGTATAGTTCCAGTATATAAAAATATTGTGCACTGTGAAATGTGACTTAGATTATTTTTCTTCGCGATTTTACACCCACAACTTGTGATTATAATTAAGTTATGCATCCCACAGTCTCAGGCCTGGCATTATCTCCGGAGTTGGGTATACCTGGTATAGCAATGTGTCCAACATACTGGCACTGAACACCTGCCCAGCAGCAAACGGAAGTCGGAAGATGTGGCTCATGTTCGACCCCATCGTCTGCTTCAGCTTCTGTAATAACAAGAACAGGTTTCAAGCTGTGGTCATAGTCCGGCATCCTCAGGCATGTCAATCAAACAGCATGCACATTGGCTGCATAACTGATCCCTCTGGACATAGTGAGTGAGTGAGTATGGTTTTACGCCACTTTTAGCAATATTCCAGTAATATCACAGCAGGGGACACCAGAAATAGGCTTCACACATTGTACCCATGTCGGGAATCAAACCCGGGTCTTTGGCGTGACGAGTGAACACTTTAACCACTAGGCTACCCGATGGACCCCCATCAGGACATTTGTTGGTCCATCGTCTTCAGTCAATCCCAAGGATATTGGGCAATGTATGCAACGGATACAATCCAAGTGACCTCACCAAACTTCAAACAGCAATTGAAAATTGACTTGATCTGCTTGTTTGCTGTAATGCCTATGACTTCTGAAACTGGTCAGTAATTATAAGCAAGATTGTCTATATCACTTCCCCACCTCTAGTGGAATATTTCCCACACCACCTACCTGTTCAAGACGTGAGACTCTCTGGGAGTATATATCATGGGCACGGAACTGCATGAACCTCATATTATTGGCTTGATTCAGCTCAGTAATAATGTTGGCATTTGGAAATAGCCTATAAAAGGGAAAAAAGTATATGTTGTCATCACAATCTCAAATTAATTAAGAGGTAAACATATTGTGTTTTCACTGAAGAGCTTGGTTTTGTGTAGATTTAACCACTCTAATTTACAACAATGTTATGGCCGTCAAATCAGGTGTTCCAATCAGAGGTGGTTATTGTGAATTTTACAATAAATTGTATATTTATATACTTATCCTATCTCACACTATGCATTTCTTCTTTCCATCCGATGTGGAAAAGTGCCTGAACAAAGTTTCCAGCTTCTAAAAAACAGTTCACCCGAACACCTCCTAGTATCACCATGGTCATGACCCAAACAAATAGGTCACGTACTGTAATCCCATGCATAGCGACCTACACGACCTAGGGCTGGGACGATACACAAGGTCACGATACGATACGTATCACGATAGTGGGGTCACGATACGATACGTACGATACGATACAAAAAATAATGTCACAAGCTGGTGGAAGATGATGAAAGTTTAATGTAAAATAGTTCTCATCAAATAACTCAAATTTTCCTTCAGAACATGTGTCAAACACAGCACATGTCACTCAATAGCAAGACTCAAAACACCTGAGTTAAGGCGCCTGACTAAATACCTGGATTTTCTGCAATAAAAATGCATTCTAAATGTCATCTGAACAGCAGAACTATTTGGTAAAAACAACCACTGGTTTGTGATTTTCTCACAATGATCAATGAAAGGCAAATTGCCTGAAACTCTGAACTTGAATAATCAACATCACACTAATTAGTAAATCACAAAGTCAGACATGTTTAACTGATGTCTGAACATTAACTCTTTCAACACCAGTCAACCAGAAGTGTTTACTGCTGGGACACCAAGTTCCCAGAGACTCTTGTGTGATAGATGAAGCCAACATTTATCAAAGAAAATATCTGCTTGTAAAATATATTTGCCACTACATGTTATACACCATTTGAAAGGTCTGATCCTATGGTTTATAAATATGAAAGTTATGTTTTTCACATTATTTAAAATAATGCATTTACAACTTAATTAAGTTGGTTGTAAATAAAAAATGTAAGCTAACACGTTGTTAACATCCAGATTAAGGACCAAGGAAGGGAAAACTTGACGATTTTCGGCAAATATAAGAATTCATAAAATCCACTTACCTATTTCTGTTTTATTTTCATTGTTTACGTAATTGGAAAATCATTTTAAAAAAAGAATTATGAATAGTTTCTGTCATCACCCATTTCCCGATAACAGCGGCTGTCCGCTCAGTAACATGAAGAAATACCCCCGTTTTCGAGGCTTCGTATGAATAAAACGTTCTTCTAAGAATGGCATATGACACATCGCTGGAAAGCTTATTCCTTCATCTAAATTCTCGTAACATCGACTGTTTTTTTCCGTAGTTATAACAAGCGATTTCGTTGGATTAAAATTGGTTTCTAATGACGCTTTCTTGACGAAATCTGCTACAAGTTTCGTGATTTGACAATTTTGAGCACTTGACCTAAGGCAGCCAATCAAATTACAGCTGTGATACCAAGCTCGTGTTTGATTTCAGAATTTGGCGAAAGATGTTTTGTTAAATCGTGCTATTCTGAACGTTTTAAGCAGGAAATCACGATATATATTAAAAATATGGAACTTCGTGAACGTATCGTGCTAGGTTACGAGCTGTGACAAAGATTTTTCATGCATATATTTTTGCATCCAACATTGTGTCCGAGCCGAGAATTCAAGGCGACGAAAGCCGAGATGTCATTTGACTTACATTACACGCGATAGCACGAAAAGATGGAAATAATAACTTAGATGTAATATATTTTTGTTGATATCATTTATTACTTTGTATAATATATTTAAAGATTTGTTTAAAACGTCTTTATTTTGCTCTTTGACATGTTCGATGTGGACCCGTATTTCAATAACATCGCAGGAATATTAGTGAATATTTTTTTAATTTATCGATAAAAAATGATAAATTGAATTGGAATATGTATTTCAGACATTATGAAATGTGATAGATTTAATAAATGAATGATATTACAGGTAGGTCCATAAAAATATATACTATTTTGACGTGACTACGACTTGGCCGGTAAACCGGCCTACGGTGTCTGGGGACTCGATGCTTCTTGGCCGGAAAGCCAGTCGCCATGTTTGAAGGCTGAAACTAATACGAGTCATTTGATTGGTCGTACTACGAAAATCAACCAATCATATTTGTCCTTGTATCATCGCTTGATTTTCTTTACTGACTGCGTTGGAACAAAACGGACGATGTAAACAGCGGCAAATACGTTTTGATACTCGTAGTATATCAGCTGTGTATCGTTTTGTATCGATACATAGACCCACGAATCGATAGTCGTATCGAACTGTAATGTATCGTGATACATCGATGTATCGGTGAATCGTCCCAGCCCTAACACGACCTGATCACGTGATTACCCCTGCCACATCATTCTCTATCACAGAGCTAACAGTCTAGAGGAGCTGTATTACGGAGATAGTTGATAGAGCAAAAAGAATGTGAGATAGGTTCTATAACACTGCCCCGACAAGAACGTGCGAACGGGAAAACACACCATAACAAGCGATATAATCCACATATGCTAGTCGGACATAACAGCATGAAATACTTAAGAGTCAAGACATTAAACACAGAGACTGATAAAAGTGCCATTATTTGACCATGTCTCTGTTTTACTTTTGTGGACGGTCTCCATACCTGAATATGGTCTGCACAGCCACAATGGTCTGAGCGTCACACAGAGTTTCCTCCCCTTCCTTCTGGTTGGGAGTTCTGTTCACCACCACCAGGTGGCTGGCTTTGTTGATACCAGCTTGCAGCAAGTCATCAACACTGAAACAATTTGGAAAAGACAAGTGAGGGTGTGGGAAATAAATAAGAATTAATCAAATATGTCTTGTACATGTATTTCTATGACTATTGCTCAAACATGTGAAACAGCTATCAGATGACTTGTGGAGGTTAGGTGAGGTGAAATGGGGTTTAAGGTCACTTTCAAGATTATGGTACTTGTAGTCCAGACTTATACCAGGTTTGATAGTCCTAACCCACAGAGATACCGACCTGTGAAGATACGGGGTAGAATAGGTCTTCAGCAACCCATGCTTGCTGTAAAAGGCGACTATGCTTGTTGAAGAGGCGACTAACGGGACTGGGTGGTCAGGCTCGCTGACTTGGTTTATGCATGTCATTGATCCCAATGATATCAATCACTGGATTGTCTGGTCCAGACTCGATTATTTACACAGACCGCCGTCATAAAGCTGGAAAATTGCTGAGTGCGGCGTTAAACAAAAAACAACCAAACAAACGCTGAGATACCATGCCTCAAGCACAGCATACTGGCTCTGAGCCAGCCAGTCCTGTTTTAACCCTTTAATAATGTTGAGTACCAGTGGCTGGGATTGGAATCACCGACCTTCCGCTCTCCAGCCAGATGCTTTATCCACTAAACCACAGAGGTGGTTTGTTTTGTGGCAAAATTTACAAATGGTTTTCAGACTGGTTTACGTGGAAATGACGAAAATATAAATATTGTAATAAGGGATGAGTACAAGTGATTCCCTTGTTTGACTTTTTGTGCAAAGATTTGTCACAAAATATTGCAATAGTTTTTATCTGCACCCGGCTTTATATACTGGGGAGGTACTCTGATCACATCAGGGCAAACAGCACAACGATACGTACCTTGTAATCCGTCCCTTCATCCAGTACACTAACGGAAATTTTGATATTGTCTCAAGAAATATTTTGCTGGGTCTGAAATAAACATCATCACATACATTATGCCAAAGGCAATATTAATTTGAGTGAGTGAGTTGTGTTTAAACTCTACTTTGAAATTAAAAAAAAATTAGATCACAGCGTCTACGTTTGTTGTGGGTGGAAAGCATGAAGCGATGCAAGTCTTAGACATGTGCATTTGGTGAAACCCACAAGCATGTGTAAGGTGCAGACACTTTTTGTTGTACAAAGAAACATACCAGTAAATACACGAACCCACCAAAACACAGCCTAGAAACATAATCCACAAACACAGGATTCTGGCACACCTAAGGAGCGCAACTCTCCCTAGACGACTGTGCCACCTGTGTCCCCTAATATTTATTTCTCAACAGCCAATGCTTTTAGCTGTCAAGGTTGAACCCACATATCGGATGACCGACAATAAAAACTGACACAATCAAATGACAGACAGTAGCTTGTACAAAAACAACTATATTGGAGGTCTGAAATCACTGGCATTATAAAATGATTTTAATGCTAAATCAATAATCTGGCTGCAATGGCATAAAACACACAACATATACACCAAATTCCATACTGTTCGACTTATTTTAGAATGGCTGAGTAATGGTAACAAATTGACCAAAAATATAGATACCATGGTGGCCATATTGAAAATTGGATTTGAAGCTTGTGAGCAAATTGAGGTGTCATCATTGGTATCAGTGTCAGTTTCAATGGTCTAGTGGGTTCTGAGAATATGTTTACAGCCATGACATAAGCTCATTTGACTTTCAGTCATGTGAGCTAAATATACAATAAGTGCTCAGGATAGACTTGTCTGTAAATAGAATGGTCTGGTCTTTCTTTACAGGGGCGGTCGGGTAGCCTAGTGGTTAAAGCGTTCGCTCGTCACGCCGAAGACCCGGGTTCGATTCCCGACATGGGTACAATGTGTGAAGCCCATTTCTGGTGTCCCCCGCCGTGATATTGCTGGAATATTGCTAAAAGCGGCGTAAAACCGTACTCACTCACTCACTCTTTCTTTACATTTAAGTACAGATTCTTTCAGGTAAGGTACATGTATCTTGTATTTCACTAAGAGTTGGAGTGCAATCTACTTACTCTTCTTCAACAAGGAGGATGATCGGGCTAAGGCCATTCATGCTGATGAAGTTGGACCGCAGCGGGACGATGAAGTGGTAGATGCCGCTACTGGCCTGCTCTGCAGCCAGGATGATCAGTTGATTGTGCCAGCGATCGTCATTGGCCGTCTTGTAGCTACAGTGCTCACACGACTGAAACAGCACAGATGCGTTGGAATATTTACAATTTCCAGTCACATAATTACATTTTGTACCCATGTGGCGAAGAGAACAGAGGCTTGTAGCAGAAATGTGTGGGGACACTAGGAAGTGGCAGCTGAAGGTGGGAAGAAATGATGCCTTAAGCCACAGTTAGCAATATTCAAATATTGTTAACATCCTGCTCAGGCAAACCAGTGGTTGACAGTGTGAGCAATAAGTCACACAATGATGGGATACGATGACAAATATTCTGCCAGGACACACAGTGAGAACAGATCCTCAAATTAGGTCTCCTTTACAACAAGCATGGGTCTGATGTGGACCTATTCTCTCTTTAAAAATACTGATGGACACTGTCTGTCATGGGGTTACAACTGAGCCTGAACAGTGAAATCATGAACATACAGCTGGAGGATCAGTGATCAGTCTTTGGGTTTGTTCAAGGATGGGGTTGTTATAGAGGTTAAAGGATGTGGTTGTTATAGAGGTTAAAGGATGGGGTTGTTATAGAGGTGGGTTTGTTAAAGGATAGGGTTGTTATAGAGGTTAAAGGATGGGGATGTTATAGAGGTTGGTTTGTTCAACGATGGGGTTGTTATAGAGGTTCAAGGATGGGGTCGTTATAGAGGTGGGTTTGTTCAAGAATGGGGTTGTTATAGAGGTTAAAGGGTGGGGTTGTTGTAGAGGTGGGTTTGTTAAAGGATAGGGTTGTTATAGAGGTTAAAGGATGGGGATGTTATAGAGGTGGGTTTGTTAAAGGATGGGGTTGTTATAGAGGTTAAAGGGTGGGGTTGTTATAGAGGTGGGTTTGTTAAAGGATGGGGTTGTTATAGAGGTGGGTTTGTTAAAGAATGGGGTTGTTATAGAGGTGGTTTTGTTAAAGGATGGGGTTGTTATAAAGGTGGTTTTGTTAAAGGATGGGGTTGTTATAGAGGTGGTTTTGTTAAAGGATGGGGTTGTTATAGAGGTGGTTTTGTTAAAGGATGGGGTTGTTATAGAGGTGGTTTTGTTAAAGGATGGGGTTGTTATAGAGGTGGGTTTGTTAAAAGATGGGGTTGTTATAGAGGTGGTTTTGTTAAAGGATGGGGTTGTTATAGAGGTGGGTTTGTTAAAGGATGGGGTTGTTATAGAGGTGGGTTTGTTTAAGGGTGGCCTCCACACAGAGGTTGGTTTGCTAAAGAATGGGTTTTATATCATGTTATGGAGCAAATGAAAGAAACTCACAGTTCCCCACTTAAGGCAGCAGAATGGCCTTGACCCCTCGACAATATGACACAGTGTTCGCCGAGACCCAACGTACATCGTAATAGGAGGAACACCTATTGTAAACCTGAAACAGACTTTATTGAGTCAGAATAATGCGAACAAAATATGCAAGGAATGATTACCAGAAATCCTCCTGTATTTTGTGCTCAACTGGTGGTATCAGGGTATGAAACTCCCAAAAATTTCAGCCAGACCACAGGACTGGCTAGCTGAAATACTTGCCCGCCCTGACCAAAACCTGCCTGCCCACTATAATCATATGTTTCTCAGGATAAGCTAACGGGGTTTCTTTTTGGTTACATTTTATCATTCATCTTTACATGTGAATTAATGCTTATCATCGGGAAATATTTTGAATATTTTCACATATGAAATATAACCCGACCGTCGGGCAGGGGGATTTGAAAATCTGGCAGCCCGAGTTGAAATCAACCCGTCTCGGACGGTCGGGCAGGCAGGTATTTCGAACACTGGTGGTATGTGTTGCAGCCATCATCATGTGTCTGTTGATCACCCTTATAAGAGCTGATAGGTTGGTCTGTGTTTACATACAACCCTACAACCTTTGAAAACTACTAGTCCACTAGACAGAAACTACTAGTCCACTAGACAGAAACTACTAGTCCACTAGCCAGAAACTACTAGTCCACTAGACTGAAACTACTAGTCCACTAGACAGAAACTACTAGTCCACTAGACAGAAACTACTAGTCCACTAGACTGAAACTACTAGTCCACTAGACAGAAACTACTAGTCCACTAGCCAGAAACTACTAGTCCACTAGACAGAAACTACTAGTCCACTAGCCAGAAACTACTAGTCCACTAGACAGAAACTACTAGTCCAGTAGCCAGAAACTACTAAGCTGTGCTGAGGACAAGGAAAAATCCAGTAATGCTAGTCAGCATCTGAGGCTTTAATTCTGAACCTTTTCTCAATGCATTAATTTGCAACAAAATTAAACTGAAAATAAGTGGATGTAAAATGTAAACATAGTTAACATTTTTGTCTTGTTCAAGCAGGACTGGCTACAGACTGAGGACTAGTGAGGACAATCGTTCTAAATCCATAATGTTTGTTAAAGCTCCAGTCTGGACACTAGCTAAGTTCAGTATCAATCATCAGCATACAAACTTTTGACTTTGTAAATTCAGTTGGTCGATTTCAAATTTAAGCTAAATACCAAATGAGTACAATGTTGATGTTTTTATTAATTTAGGTGAATAGTATACATAAACAACAACATCATTAAGTAGACACAATTAATGGATCACAACTTCAACCTAATCAGTCCTGCTTGACAACGGTATAAGGATCTATACCGAAACGTCGCCTCTACGGTATTAAAGAAGTTGTTATCCATAAATTGTGTCTACTTTGTCATCCATCAACTTCTAAGCAATGCCTATCAAACAATATAACATCATACTCAACAGACAGATGCATATTGACCTGATCAACTTACTGTTGATTACATAATCACTACAAACATATTCCTTGCAGTTTTACAGCTGATGTCATATCCTTTGCTCTGTAGGTCATCACCATATTGTTTTCTTTTTACATAAAAAAACTTTCTAGCTTGAACTGATATTAGTTAACCTTTCTTGAAATGATTGTTATTTTTCTTTAACATCCAAAACTGGCTCCCACAGGAGATATCTGTTGGGTGAGATCAAGCCATATCATCACTGTAGATACTACACTGCAGATATCGCTGCAATGAAATTGCATCGCAATACTTTGCAGACCATTGTGACATCACTGGTAACCATGACGTCACAATCAAATGACAACACTAATGGCTCTGCTACTGAAGCTGTAAGCAGTACTTTTTACACTGAAGACACTGCTAATTATTGTCTACAAATTAAAAAAGTTGGAAGAATGATGTTGGATGATAAATAAAATCTCACCCTCGTGTCTTTTGATATGAAATATATTAACACTCGTTGATATAAGTGGCAAAAATCCTCGGCAAGCCTCAGAATGTTTTATCAACTTGTGTTGATATATTTGATATCAAAAGACACTTCTGCCAAGTCTGTTGGTGTTGAAGCTCACCTCTCCTGTCCCATGTCACTGTAGAACTGCAGTACCTTGCCGGAGCCTGTCCGGTGGGACACACCATCCAGTGTATCCTGTGGTGTTGCATTGATGTTAATAACATCAGGAGTCTTCTCCACATGTATAAAGTCATCACTGCTTTCATTGTTGTTTTTGTTCTCTTTCTTGTTATGAATGAGTTTTGTTATCTCCTGGCCCATTAGGCTGGTGATGGTGTCGAACACACTCTCGCCATCGTCATCCTCCTCCTCCTCCTTCTGGTACTTCTGTAGGGCCAGTGCTATTTGTTCTGATGAAGGAGGATTGAAATTGTCAAGATTCAAGATTATCTACCTCATTCAGGGGCATAATCCCAGAGAGTGAGTGAGTGAGCTGGATTGAACGTCACTAACAGAATCTCAGTAATGTCAGGCACAGCAGCTTAATGTGGAAGAAAAGTAGATTTGTGTTTAACGCTGCTTTGTAACAGTATCATAATTTATCACAGCATGTCAGATTAATGAGGGAGGAATTCTTAAGAACAATCAGAATGGTGCTTACAATCCAAGAATCTTAGTCAAGGCAATTCCAGGAATCCAACCCATGATTCTAGGATTTTAGCCTGCCTAAGGGATGCAACTTTACACAGGGAACTGTGGTGCCTTAGACAAGTGGTCCACCTGTACTACCTAAGAACAATTTCAAGACCAGTTCACCCCTAGACTGATCTGTATAGCAAGTTTCATCTAGAAAATTCAACAGTTTTGGAGTACTGCTCCGGAAACTTGTCATCATGAAAGAAATAAAACAAAAATATATAAAAATCCCAAATCATCAAAAGGCACCAGTTCACCACTAGACTGATCTATATAGAAAGTTTATTTAACAGTTTTGGAGTTCAGAAAACGGACAGCTGACTAGGACTATCTGAGAATTGTATGTAAGTACCCAGGTTCTTGGCAACTCTCTCTGACTTGGGCACCTCTTGTTCCACGGCCTCCGGATTGATACGGGAGTACTCCTCCTTGGTGACGCTCATGTAGAAGCAGTAGTCCGTCTTCTTCAGGATGTGCTTGGGGCCGGGGTTCAGCAACAGCTTGGGCTCCTTCTCTGTCGGGTCCAGGACGGCCAGCAGAGCCACACCGAACCTGAGAGACACAGGCGAACTTATATAGAATATGAAAAGTAATCTCTAAAAAACACTGAATGGCAAGTGTCTAATGTCCCTGTTGGTACCATGCTGCTGGGGGCTTTATTCCCAACATGTTTCAGTATCGTCCCACTGCTGGTGTACTGCTCATCAGATATTTGGCCATTGATAGTACACTAAGAGTGAGTGAGTGAGTTGTGTTTAACACCACTTTGAGCAATATTCCAGTTATATCACAGCATGTCAGCTTAATGTGGGAGGAAAGCCTGAAGTGAGGCAGGTCTAAGATATTTACCACTTCGGTGAAACCCACGAGCACAGGTATGGTGCTGACAAACCAAGAAACATTGTTGGGGCAAACCTACAATCATAGGTTTCTGGAGTGCCAAAGGGACACAACTCTGCACAGAGAATTGTGGCGCCTTACTAGTTGGACGAGTGGGCCACCCGTGCCCCCGGTAGAACACTAAAAAATATGTCCAGTTTGCAAATACGGTATAGAGGACAAATTCCACTTTCTATTGATTTGTTATATTATGAAAATCTTAGGAAATTTATCTGCCAGAAAAATTCTGGAAATACCCTAGCTTAAATACCCTTCAGTCAACTTTGGGCACTAACAATAAACATTCATTAAAAGATTTATCACATTACTTAGAATATGCTTATGAAAATTTGACACTCAGTTGTAATGAACTGACAGAGTCCTTGTGAGTTTGTATTTATGTATTTGTGTATCCATGTATTGTATTATCTATTTGCTGTGTGTATATGGTTCTGTATAAGGGCTTCATGACAAACTTTTTCTTCTTCTAATAATCAAATCAACAGACTTAAATTAAACTTATAGTAGACTGGATTGAAACTAAACAAGAGTACTGAGCAGATTATAGTGGTTTCATCATGAGGGTTTTATAATATGAGAAATATCACCCTAGTATCAGTTAACTGGTATTTACAAAGGTGTCGTTGTACGAAGCGATCTTAGCGTTAAGGTGATCGTAGCTCCCATACCTTAACATAGACTTACGAGAGTCGTAGCATTTTGAACAACGGCACTCAAGTCTTTAGTAAGGCAAATACCAATTTACAGGATAAGGTTGATATTTCACATATTAAAAAAACAAGAATTCCGTAGATCATTTCCACATTAAATTTTCCCCCATTTTGAATCAAATACACAGAATTTCTGAATCTTACGATACATTATGTGAACAGATACACTGATGCCTTAGCTGTTGGGAAATATCACACGCAGAAGGAAATTAGTATAAGTCAGGATATGGTAAAATAATAAATTCCTGAAACTATGTGATAAAACATAACTGAACAATGTGTTGCAGCACATGCTGAAAGTTTGTGCTGATGTAGAACTGCTTGTTTTCATATTCGTTAATAAATTAGTTATATTTTTTGGGGTTGGTTTGTTGTTTAACGCCGCACTCAGCAATATTCCAGCTATATGACGGCGGTCTGTAAATAATCGAGTCTGGACCAGACAAACCAGTGATTATTACCATGAGCATCGAGCCACGCAATTGGGATCGATGCCATGCATCAACCAAGTCAGCGAGCCTGACCACCCGATCCCGTTAGTCGCCTTTTACGACAAGCATAGTCACCTTTTACGGCAAGCATGGGTTGCTGAAGACCTATTCAACCCCGGAATATTCACGGGTAAATTAGTTATAGGCATGTCATCTGGGACAGTTAACTTTAAAGTTGACACCATCAATCTGTACCCTCCAATGTCAAAGTGAAGTGAAGTGAAATGTGGTTTAACATCGTGGCCAAGATTATTTCACATATATAACCACGTGGGTGCGGCTGCTGGTACTAGTCCGGACTGATGCCGAATTAAAGTGCTAGTCCACTGAGATACCATGCCACAGTTTAACATGAATACCCCACTCAGACACAGCATACTGACTCCGAGCCGACCAGTCCTTGTTTTTGCCCCTTAATGCCGAGTGCTAAACAGGGTAACAACAAGTACCATCTTTTAACGTCTATCGGTATGATGCGGCTTGGGATCGAACCCCAGACTTTCTGCTCTCTGGGAGGGCACTCTACCACCAGACCACAGAGGCGGTCCCAATGTCAAAGGTATCCATGTTGTTTAATTGGTTGCTTTGGGTAGCCAAGTGGTTTCTGAATTAGATTAGATTCCTGGCATGGGTACAGTATGAGAAGCACATTCTAGGTTTCCCCTGCCATGATATTGCCGGTCGATAGCTAGAAGCAGCTTAAATGAACAGACCATCCATTTTCTCATTTCTGTATTAGGAAACTGACCTCTGGTGTGCATCAGCGGAGGCCTCAGTGAACTTCGTCCCGCTGTACTGACTGAAGAAGATGCTCTTCTGCACCTGGATGTGGTAGATCTCGTTACCTGCATGACGCCCGTACACCTGCTGCCACGTCTCCGAGGCGATGTCCCCCTCGCTGCAACACATGCAACATCATCAACTGCTCATCTTCCTCACAACGTAATCCAAAATCTTTCTAACCCTGTAAATACTATCAAGGATTAATCTAGACTAACTCAGGGGTTGATATTTGGCCCAAAACATTTCCATAAAAGTAACCAAATTGGAATTTAACATTTCCCTGTTCATGTTAATACAGTATACCTAATGTTATGACTTTGTAGAGGTGATCTGCAATAATGAGGACGAGGCTTTAATGCTTAGTCTTACATTATTGCACTGAATGCAGTGCGAAAGTAAATGTTAAAATACTTTGGAATTAATTAAAAAGCAATATTGATCCAATTTTAAACAAATAATAATTTTGCCAATTTGCTTGCAAAGGGCATTATGAATTAGTTTAGAATCCTAGTTAGTTAGTCCCTTGAAATATCAAGCACAAAATACTCATATCCCCTGCCAATGGCATATCCGGTGGTGTGCAAGGCAAGAAATATTGTCAGTTTTCAAGATCTGATCCGGATTTGAGCACATCCGCCATTTTCAGTCAGTCATTGTTATGGTGACTCAAATAGTAATTCTTTTACAAATCCTGAACTATCAAAAGGCACCAGTTTACGACTAGACCTATCTATGTGCCAAATTTGGTGAAGAAATATTGTATAGTTTTCAAGATCTGATCCAGAAATGAGCACATCCGCCATTTTCAGTCAGTCATTGTTATGGTGACTCAAATAGTAATTCTTTTACAAATCCTGAACTATCAAAAGGCACCAGTTTATGACTAGACCTATCTATGTGCCAAATTTGGTGATGAAATATTGTATGGTTTTCAAGATCTGATCCAGAAATGAGCACTTCCACCATTTTCAGTCAAAGACATTGCCATGGAAACTCAAAAAATATTTTTTTCACAAATCCTGAACTATCAAAAGGCAGCAGTTCTCCACTAGACCTATCTATGTGCCAAGTTTGGTTAAGATATGATTTTTGAGTTCTGCTCCGGAAACAAAATGTGACGGAGGGACAGCACCATTCCTAAACAATGCAACCCCTGTTGCTGTGTGACGTGGGAGTATGTAGTAGACTCACATGCCACTGGAGGTATGCACCAGGAGTGAGACCAGGGTGGACAGGCCGGGGTACAGACAGTTGTTGGCTAGGAGGGCGTACTTGAACTCATCCTCACACACTAAGTGCTCTGAAACAATCAAACAGTATACTGTAAATCTTGATATTAACGTGAGCATGAAATAAATTCGAAAAATGTGAGCGGTCTTTGCTCGCATTAATAACTTCACATTTATGTCCCCAAATGACTATCAACAATAAGACGGCCTCACTGCACACTTTGGATAGCGGAAATACCCACTTGAATATAAACACAAACACTGTTTAATGAGCATCAGTTGTAACAAGTATATAACAATGTTATTCAAAGAATAGGAATTACACAATGGGCATCCGGTGAGTTATCACTGCTGGGGTCAAGAGTTCTACCAACTTGTGTCAAGCTTGTTGACACCTTCTCCGCATACCAATCAGTGAACTGTTGTTGATTCAATTATTTTATTGCCTTTGAACTTCCTTAATGCCAGTCAACAGAGTAAACATATAAACTGTTTATTGTTTTTATGGAAGTGCTCTACTCAGTGCTAATAAGTGGTGCTATTTGCTGTTTGATTGGATTAAGGTAAGGATATGTATCATTCCACTGGGGATGGGGTTGGGGGGTAACCTCCCAAAACCCCTACATCCCATTTCCCCTACAGCTTAAGACAACAAAGTTCACGGTCCATGGCACTGCTAATCCCTAGTCTGTTACCTATTTCATACAATGGAACAACCCAAGAAACTCGAATAGATTGAGATAAATATTTAATTACGATTACGATATTATTCAAATTCATAATACATTATAATAAAAGGTTCATTTTTCAAAATTCATAATACATTATAATAAAATGTTCATTTTTCAAAATTCATAATACATTATAACAAAATGTTCATTTTTCATCTCAACTGTAAATCGTCTCATCTCAGTTTCTCAGTGTAATAATTGTTTCTTCCTATTGTTGTTTGTAATTTCTAAAAAATGTCTTCTCATCATACAGGCATCTTTCATTACACTTACATTAATTTTTTTTTCTTCTTAACTTTCCTTTAAGTACCCTAATCCCCTAAAGCTCTACCCTTTTCATTTCTACTACCTCTACTCCAGACCTTAATCTCTCCTTTAGGTGAGTTCATAATGCCAGACAGGTAAATGCCGCGTGTTGTTTTAACTAATTGTAGGGGAACTGGGTTGTAGGGGAAATGGGATGTAGGGGTTTTGGGAGATAACCGGTTGGGGAGAGTCGCAATTTTTGGCTAGGGGGTCAGCAGTCATTTTAATTTGGAGACGCATTAATTTCAAGATTAACAGTATATACAGTAGGGCTGGGACGGGTAACTCAGGTACTTGGGTCGGGTGGGTAGTGAGTAGGATCTGGGTGCCCACAGGACTACCCGGACCCGTGGTTAGTCACATGATTATATTGTTTAATGGCAAATTTATCTAGAACTCTATGGTTACACTAAAAGTGACAAATGTTCACATTTGTTTCCGACTATGCACACATTCCATCTGACTTTATATGTTTGCATAAAGATAAAACTTCTGTCAACTTCAGTGTATGTATGACCAGATCATTTTATGCCTGTATCTAAATACATTTTTGCAGGAGTATGGTCAAACATTTCCCAATTGGACATTTTGTACCTATCTCTTGAGACCTATACAGAGGGTACCTGGGTAGGGTTGGGTAATAGAGGGGTGGGTACCTGGGTAGTAAATTTGGACTTGTCCCAGCCCTTATATATAGCATAGCTATTCCAGGGGATTCTGGACTAGAATAGGTCCACAACAACCTGTGCTGGTCAAAAGAGGTCATGAATAGGGTGATCAAGATCGGTGACTTGGTTCACTGTGTATCACGGTACAAAGTTGATCAAGTAGGTGAGGTGAAATGGGGTTTAACATCGCGTCCAAGATTATTGCACTTATATAGTGACGTGAATGCACATGTATGTGTGTGTGTGTGTGTGGCTGCTTTTACTAGTCCGGACTGATGTCGATTTATAGTGCTAGCACAGTGAGATACCATGCCGCAGTTTAACATGAATACCCCACTCAGACACAGTATACTGACTCCGAGCCGACCAGTCCTTGTTTTTGCCCCTTCATGCCGAGCGCCAGACAGGGAAACAACAAGTACCATCTTTTAACGTCTTTTGGTATGACGGGGCTGGGGATCGAACCCCGGACCTCCGGGCGGACGCTCTACCATTAGACCACGGAGACAGTACAAAGTTGATCAAGTAAATCTACACACCTCTACTACTAATATTAGAATGAACCCACCAGCAAACTTGACATGCATCTTGTTCTTGGCTTTGAAGAGCTGGATGTACTGCTTACAGTTGGGTGCAAAGTCTTTAACTGCCCACGACCGGAGAATTGTGTGTTGATCCTGAAAGTTGACAAAATCTTTCATAGACACGGAACATGTAGTCCATGTACAAGATGTATTCATCCACATAAAGCAACATGTTGGACAACTAGGGGTAGTGTATTATCCAACTCTATTGCAATATTATACAGTCAAGTCCCGTCAATCCGACATTGTTGGTTGCATATGATGATGTCAGATTAGCGAGTATGTCGGATAAACAAAATTAGGTAGTATCAACATTCGTGATCGATAGATAACTCAAACATGTTGTAATAAAAAAGGAAATATTCCTATTGTTGTGTTACATAGTTAGCGGAATATGTTTAGGAATTATGCAACCTCTAAAGTTTAAAACAAAAGTACTGTTACGGACTGTATGACTGATTCAAAATACTATTTAAAGCATAGTCTGGAATGGAAGTCGCCAATTTGAAACTAGTGCTGCAATGCTTAAGAAAGCTGCTCTCGTAGTGGCTGATATCGACTTGATGTTAGTAATTTCATTGGTCGATGAAATTGGTCAAAGTTCGCGAAATGTCGTTCTGACGTGACCTGTAATGGGATGTCCTCAGTGGTAGTGAGAACTTGTATCTGATTTTAATGAGATTGAGGTAATCTAGGCATGTGATTAATCCTGTTTTGTTTATTTAAAGCAGTAATTGTTTATTGTTAAGCAGGTTTATCTGCAGCCGTTGAAATATGTAGCTGCTCGTCAACTCGTCTCGCATCAAAACACGGAGCTGTGTACTCACGGGCAGATGACCATGGAGTACGCTGATCACTATGTTGGATTAACGAGACTGATGAATGAGTGATTTCAACAATTCATTGCAAATTAGAGGTGTCGGAGTCGGAGTGCGAGACTGTCAGATTAACGGGGTCTAAATAGCACTGATTTAATCGGTTCCCATCATTTGTGTCGGATAAAGCCAATTGTCGGATTAACGAGTGTTGAATTAATGAGACTTGACTGTATATGTATTGATAGTGTATGATCCAACTCTGTCGCAATATTATATATATACTGAAAGTAGCTTCACCTTTAGTAATGGCCAAAAAGGTTTTGAATATCAGCTTTCTATTATCTCTGTTGAAACTATTGATAATCTAATGTGATAATGATGTTAAAACTCTTTGTTGTAACGCCACAGTTCAAAACAATTCCAATTTAACATTGTTTTATATAATCAATGCATCTTAAGTTCAACTCTATTTGAGTAAGTATTAATAATAATAGTGTGCACAGTCAAATTAAAAGAGTGTCACAACGGTCTCTCTCAGTGGTGTGACTATATTGAATGTATACTGACAGCTGCAGATGATGATGATGATGATGATGATGATGATGATGATGATGAAACTTCTTTGTTCTAATTTATCATAGGAAATGTACAAAATCTGATGAAACTACCATTTAAAGTACAATCATCATTTCTTTGCTACAATTATGAACATACCGCTTTGGCTTTGTTGACGGCAGATCTTGGGGCCAGGAAAAAACAGGCATCAGCTTGATGGATCCTAAAATGAGTTTTCAAAAGCAAGAAAAATGTGAAATATTTCCAAATTAAAAAAGTTGATACATCTTGAGTACTGTGCACGTTTATGATAGGAGCTCCGGTGATTTCTCCATCTTGAGGTAAATAAAATTTGTTCAAATGCAATCTTTATCCTGGGAATGATGTTCAAAATCTGGTCAAGATGTCGACGATCACCATGACATGTTATTATATATTTTTATTTCATAATCCAAGGTCTTGACCTTAAATTTCAGCCTATGAGCGTTTGTTGTATAACACTCCACTCAACAAAATTCCAGCTATATGCCGATGGCCTGTAAATAATACAAGATATGATACAATAACTACCAAGTCACTGAGTCCGACCACCCAATCCATTAAGTCACTCTTACAACCAGCATAGGTTACTGGGGACCAGTTCTAACCCGGAATCCCAACAGGGCCTTCTGTAGTTAGTTATCAGTTTTGTGGGAAACAGTGGGATCACTACCAACAAAATGATATGTCCTGTTTGTCAATGCAGTTCCTGCTGACTAAAACATTACCGGCATCGCTTGAGATCCAAGTCTTTGAGTGGACTGCCCCTCATGTAGATGACCCTGTGGGTCCACTTGGGGTCCTTCAGTATAACCTGCATGCTGTTGTCCAGCTCCCTAGGGCTCAGCAGTATCACCATATGTTCCTGTGGCAGAGAGTTATCTCCCTTAGTTCAACTCCTTCAAGAATTTAAAACCAAACTTTACACAGCAAAATAGTTGGGATTTCACCCCTCATTCGTAACATCACAAATAGAACAGCTGAAGACAGAAGATACATAACACTGTGTCATAGTTTTAATGTTACATAGTGTCACACAAAGTTACCTCCCTTGATGTGCCCAGGCACTAGGGTCCTATTGGCAGATCAACTGGTTAATATTACAGATATCCTCCAAAAGAAAGAACATTAAATTTGCAGAACTTCTGTAACAGTATTTCTGACATGCCATTTAAGACTTAGAAGCTACAGTTTTGAGGAACAAGTCGGTAATTACATATTCTGAAGAAAAGAAATGACGCACTTCCTTTAACATGTGGAAATCTGCTTTCATTAATTATACACTAAATTTGAATTTCTTTTTATCTCTCATATTACAGAAGATGCTCAGCTCAGGTCCATATAAACGACCATGCCACATCAAGTTCATACTACTCTCTGCTTGGTAGCACCTACATACTGAGACATGCCAGATGTGCAAATGTGAATGACCACAAACCTTACTTATTAAGACTGGATGTACACAAACAAGAGTGCAATAAGTCTTTAAGTGACATTTAGCAGTTGGTATGATGAACAAGGGAGATAGGTCTATGGATGTACAACAACCTTATTACAATGAATGTGGCGTTTCGGTGTAGGTACTAACACTGTTATGAAGCAAGTGATGTGATGTTCACTATTCCTTGTTCAAGTCTGAGTGAGTGAGTGAGTGAGTGAGTGAGGATGGTTGTACGCCGCTATGAGCAATATTCCAGCAATATCACGGCAGGGGACATCAAAATCGGGCTTCACATGTTGTACCCATGTGGGGAATCAAACTTGGGTTTTTGGCGTGATGAGCGAACCTCTAGACTACCCAAACTGCCCCTCAAGTCTGATGAAGTGTGCTTATTTTCATGAGATTTTCTATGGTTTTGAATCTATAACATATAAGACAAAACACAAGACTGACTTCCTGTTTGAACAATGTATTGCTTTTGCTTTTTCATTTGTGATGGGTCTCATTCCACAAAGCATTCTCAGCATTAAGACTGTTGTAAGTCTGTGTTTAAGCATAGTCTAAAGACAGTTGCAGCACTAAGATCGTGTCATGGAACAGGTTTCTCGGCCCAAACTAAATAAATTATACCTTTAATTTCCTCTTAAAATCCATGTTGACATCAATATGAGCATCTGATCTGCCACATACATTCACTGACTAAAATTAATTAATAACTCATGGAAAAAACGTCATGAGACAGTGTTTTATTTTAAGCAGCAATATTGTTCAACATTTAAATTGAGAATCTCACCACATGAGAAGAATATTAATAAAACACAAAAACTAACACCACATTGCATGTAGCCTACATAGCACTAGGTCCTCTGTACATGCCTGTCTAATATATATGCAGTAACAGTAATATAACCAGATAATAACTCAAGTTTGAATATCACTGCAAATTATTCTACATATGAAAACTACAGCATTACAGGGGTCTATCTCGAACTGCAAAGAGGTTGATATTCTGCAGCAATTGTCATTAAAATTCCTAATTCATGTTAATATAGTTACAACAGATATATGGCCTTGTGGAGTTGACTTGTATTTCACTGATACTAGGACTAATAAAGAGGAAGAGTCATTATTGAATTAAATGTAAATACACATATTGAATGTGAAAGTATCTCTATATTTGAGAACAATAAGTTTTAAAAAATCCAGTTTTGCACAGTTTGCTTGGAATTGGTTTGGAATCCAAGATAAATCCCTGTACAACATTTACATGCATATATATAGTATATGGATGAACATGCACAAGAACTGTGAGAAAGTGCATACATATGGAAAAACATGTCTGACAGCTGCCAACAGAAAACTGCAATTGAGAGACTTAATGCATTTAACGACAAAAGACAGATATTATCTTCACTTTCTTTAACCTAAATTGGTGCAGTTAATGTGATGTAATTGTGAGGGGGTGAGGGAGTGAGGGAGTGAGGGGAACACATAGGGGTTGATGCTGCAGTGCACATGTGGGTGGGTGAGCTGTAGAGCTAACACACAATTACTGATCACAGATGTTGCAAATACTTCCCAAATTGACATGTTTTACAGTGAGACATGGGTGTGTTGGATGGAGTGGAGTGGAGTGGAGTGGAGTGGAGTGGAGTGGAGTGGAGTGGAGTGGAGTGGTGTATGGCGGAGTGAGGTAAAGTGGGGCGAAGTGGAATGGAGCGGTGTGGAGTGGTGTGGAGTGGAGTGGAGTGGAGTGGGCATGGCTGGGTGGAGAGGAGTGGAGCAGAGTAGAGCTGGCGGGGCCGAGTGGAGTGGAATGGAGGAGGGTTGCAGTTCTTTAATCCAGGCAGGACGTAGACCATCATACTTTAACCAAAGGAAAGGACTATGCATCATTAAAGCCAATGTACACTGTTGAAAACACATCTAGGTCAAAGGTAAAGCACAAGTCAAAGGTGACAAGGTCAGAGTATGTCGTAGGGTATGGATTACTTTGTAACACAAGGGAGGACAGACTTGTCACCTGGCGGTGCTTGTGTCCAGGCATCCTCTAGCAAACAAAATGTTAGAAAAAATGTCCTTAACATGGAAAGATTCTAGCAAACAAAGTGCTAAATTAATTACTTCCTGTTTTTATCTACACCATTATTAAAACTATATCTACTTCATTATTCAAAAAGTGTAATTTTACATTTATAAATTCAAGAGAGTCCTGTTGAAAGGTTAATCATGTTCATGTATAACTTTTCACCTTTTCAAACAGAACTATTACCTGGCATGAGAACAAGTCTGCCATATATTAAAGCAGCACTGCGGCAGTCTCTAAAAAGCTGATCCACCCATGTTGCCCCTATGATGTTTGTTTGTTGTTTAACGCCGCACTCAGCAATATCCCAGGTATATGACATCGGTCTGTAAATAATTGAGTCTGGACCAGACAATCCAGTGATTGATATCATGAGCATCGATCCACACAATGACATGCATCAACCATGTCAGCGAGCCTGACCATCTGATCCCGTTAGTCACCTATTACGACAATCATAGTCGCCTTTTACGGCAAGAACAGGTTGCTGAGGACCTATTCTACCCTGGATCTTCATGGGTCTGTTGCCCCTATGACAAGCAGTGGGTAAATGTCACCTGACCTAACTCAAAATCCCAGTTAGTTTTGAGTGATTTCTGTTTAACAGTTATGAGTTAATGAATGAGTATGGTTTTACCCCACTTTTAGCAATATTCCAGCAATGTCATGGCAGGGGACACCAGAAATGGGCTTCACACATTGTACCCATGTTGAGAATTGAACCCAGGTCTTCGGCGTGACGAGTAAATGCCTTAACCACTAGGCTACCCGACCTCCCTAAAAGTAATGAGGTTGAAGAATCTACAATCTTGTAATTACAAACACAAAACATAATAAAGTTGCTGTCATGCAGATTTCGGTCGATTGCAGGATTTGCACAGATATTTTCCAAATCTTTTCACGTTTTTAATGAAGGTTCTCACGTGATTTGATGAACTTCGCTATGTATGACCCGTTTTCTCACAATAAGGATCTTGATTGTCGATCAGATTGTTGTGACTGGGTGCCGCCATTTTGTTTGAAGCAAATGCAAGTGATACGAGAGGTGGAATCTGATTGGTCCATAGGAGAGGCAGAGAAGGGACTTAACTCGTAGCAGCCACTGGTGGCACTACGATCGAGCCGAGGAATTCCAGCCTAGTTCGGCAAGGGTGGAAACTGGACTCTTAAAGTGAGTTAACTCTCTTGCCTCGGGAAGATAGGTGAATATGGGATTCGAACAATAAACATGGCTTCCTGGCAGCAACTGGGCCACCCATGCCACCTCCTCAATAAACCAGACTTTCCAGTGTTTAATATGATGGGCAATGATCAATGCTGTCCGGTACGTTGACACGCTGTCGACCAAGTCACAGAGTCTAACCACCTGCTCTTCTAGTAAGACACCTTTTAAGACCAGCACATGCTGCTGGTAACCGATTCTAACCCGGATTCCCCCACGGTGCTTACGGTGATAGCCTCAATGACTGGATCACAGCTGATGCGGCCATGAACATCATGCACATGTCATGCATTCACCCATACAAGACATATCATCCAAAAAAACAGCAAAAACAAAATCATGCATCATGCAAGTTTTCATACACATGGGATATAAATATCAACAACATGATAAACATTAATAAAAAAAGGCATCATAACTACAAACATATTTGCAAGGTTTTCTCTGTCTTCAAAGGCGTCATGACTACAACATATTTTAGGAGAACTGTCCTGTCTTAATGGTCCCGTGTCTCAACGAGATCATGCATCAGGCAGTTTTCTTATGTATGGGAAATATTATTTATGAAACAGGCGTCATGACTACAAAATATTTGAGGGGAACTGTCCTGTCTTAATGGTCATGTGTCTCAACGAGATCATGCATCAGGCAGTTTTCTTATGTATGGGAAATATTATTTATGAAACAGGCGTCATGACTACAAAATATTTGAGGGGAACTGTCCTGTCTTAATGGTCATGTGTCTCAACGAGATCATGCATCAGGCAGTTTTCTTATGTATGGGAAATATCATTTATCAAACAGGCATCATGACTACAACATATTTGAGGGGAACTGTCCTGTCATGTGTCTCAACGAGATCATGCATCAGGCAGTTTTCTTATGTATGGGAAATATCATTTATAAAACAGGCGTCATGACTACAACATATTTGAGGGGTCTTACACTGATTAGTGTACACATCATCGTGCCCACTGACCTCTGAACTAGGGATAGCAGAGGCGCGCTCCTGCAACAGGTGACAAACATCACGCACACTTCCTCCATCCCATGCTGGCATCAGGGTGGATGACAACATATAGTGTTCCGGTTGCTTAATGCCTCACTCACAAGGGTCACAAGGGTACACACTATTGGTCACACACAGGGTTTTATGTGATGCACACTCACAAGGGTACACACTATTGGTCACACACAGGGTTTTATGTGACGCACAAATGTGTGTCCAGTACTCACAAATGTTGAGATTGGATTCAGAGAAAGAATATATTGCGTCCCGAGGGACCCACAACATTCATTGTACCTACAGCCCATCAAGAGCAGTTATGGGTGTCGGTCATTTCATCCATCAACATGACCACTGTCCACATGATCATTGATTTATTCGAGGCTCTTAAATTTATCAAAATGTACAGTACACTAGACCATTTCATTACTTTACAAGACCTTATATTGTCTGCAAGGACCCTAAACATTAATTATTGATTTCAGACTGGTGTTTTATGGAGAATAACTAGATTCTTTAAGATAGCGTAGTCCCTGTACATTTTCAGTAGTCCTGGACGAATAGACTAATGGACAAGTGGCCATGTCAATCACTGACACAGCAATATTTTAGTTGTATGATGGCTGACTGTAAATATTCAATCTGGCCCAGGCAAGCCAGGGATTATTATACGGTATATATGAACGGTGACACACAGTCTCTAGGCCGCCTCTTACAAACAGCAAATGCTGCTAGGGACCTGGCCTAACCTGGAATCACCACAGGATTTTTCTGTTCCAAGAAACACATTTAATGAGAGCTGAGAAAATGGCCTATTTTCATTCATGTGGTCTCTGTTAGATATGTAATACTTGGAAACATTATATGATTCTAGCAGTGTCTCATATTTGTGGCATATTTCCTAAGGGGACTATTTCTAATGACTGACATATATCGTAACAATTAAAGCTGCATGGACATTAACTGCAATATCATAATGCAAATCCTGAAAACTTAACTGTTACTTAAATTCAAAGATGCCCAATGGCTAAGACTGTAAAACCACAAGAATGAAGACGAAGCTACAAGACAACAACATGCAGCACACAATCACGATGTCATGACGTCAGCACAGTTGAATTGTAAATATCTGCAGGATAAGATACCTGCCATAAATTTTGAATCCTCAATCAAATATGACTTCAACACATCAAAGTTGCTCAACTCTGAATGTATTGTTTAGTGTGATACACACAAGCCGGGACCATCATCAACTACAACAATGACCTGATGGCGCTACAGGTGCATCATACATACCGGACTCATGGCTGCATGAAACAAACGCTTCCATGAACACCACATAATGAAGCAGACATCATCACAAGAGCATCTTCGACTGTCCAGGGCATATATCTCCATTCTATTAAGATAAATTCCCTGGACCTATTCGCTATGGTTTCGGAAGCAAGGATAATTCTAGGGTGGTGCCTTGTGTTTTTAGCCCCTAAATTTAAAAAAAGGCCCACAGTTTCAAATACAATGGTGCATTTTAACATTGTGCTGTATGGGCGTACCTCTGGAATATTTGAAATTTTCATATAAAGGGCCCATTTCAGAAAATTCCTAGAGAGAACCCTTCGGAGGTGACATCACCATCCCTCCTGTCTCTAAACTTAGCACAGAAGTTCACTCTCTTGTTCCAGTTACTTTACTAGGCTGCTATTTTTAGCGTTGTTCTATTTTAATCGTGCACAAAACCAAGTTATGGAAGAGAATGGCTCCTGGGTACTTATTGTAGAATGGACAATCTATACTCTGGCTAATCGAGGGTGTTACAAGAGTGTTAGTAACAGAAACTCAACATCACAGTGTAAACAAGAACAAGGCATCCAAATCTGAGCCTCCAATGTTTAGGAGGTAATAGACTGTGGAAAGGAAGAACTGAAATGTTTAGATTTATTCCAGACACATCTTGCAGATGATTTTGAGTGAGTGAGTGAGTGAGTGAGTGAGTGAGTGAGTGAGTGAGTGAGTGAGTGAGTGAGTGAGTGAGTGAGTGAGTGAGTGAGTGAGTGAGTGAGTGAGTGAGTGAGTTTGGTTTGCAGCCGCTTTTAGCTATATTCCAGCAATATCATGGCGGGGTACACCAGGAATAGGCTTCACACATTGTACCCATATCGGGAATCGAACCCGGGTCCTCGGCGTGACAAGCAAACGCTTTAACCACTAGACTACCCGAGGGCCCCTAGATGATTTTGAAGGTTGAAGCAATCAAAAGACATGTTGATTTTATGGATGGGTTTTGTTGTTGTTGTGGATATCTTACACTGTGTAAATGTAGTGGTCTGTTAAATGGGGAAGTAGCAAGAGATGAACTGTATTCAGTTCTAAGGTGTGTCAGCTTAATGTAGGTAGAATGCCTTACAATATTGTAGGCATTTTGTTGAAATCCGCAAGCACAGGTATGTTGCTACATGAAGGATCATTATTAAAGTGAACGTGAAGCCTTAGATCACTGGACCAGCTGTGTCCCTATAGTAGGAGAATATAGTGTACGACTAATAAGGAAACTGGCTACAGAGAAACAGATTTAGGCTGCCTCATGCTTGTTAAAAAACATGTCAAAACAATAATGGCTCCGAGGAAAGAATGGGAGAATTGGGTGTAACTCTGTTGTGAACAGTATTTCACACACTGTGTCATATTCAAGCTTAGAGATCATTTCTAAGAGGTTTACCACCTTAGTGAAATCCACAAGCACAGGTACGGGGCAGACAAACCAAGATAATCAGGCCAATTTGGATTCAAAACCATCCGCCTAGAATCCTGCGATGTGTATGACTTGGCTCATCGTGACCCCACAGACAACACCGAAACGGGCCCTAACCAGGACTGTACCACATTACAGTATTTCATTCCAAAAAATGAATTCATGGCAAATTTGTGTGGCCCTTATTTACAGAATAGAAAATTTCACATCCAAAAATACCATCCTATTTTAGTGGTTTCAACAAGATGCAAACATTCCATGTGTTCCAACAGTTCAAATAAATGGGAAATTTTAAGCCTAGATGCTAATGCTTGTTAAATCTGTCATGGTAGGTGGGTCTCGTTAGGCCTGTTTCTATAGAGAGTACATCCCAAGCCATTCTTCCCAAAAGCAAAGTATTATAAAAACTCCATTACTTCCTCACTTTGGTTTTCTGTTAAAAAGGAGAAAATTGCAGACTTTATTAATCATTACTATCTATTTATGCATTCAAAACATTAAAATGGTTGAACACAAGTGTATTTATTCTGTAGTCTGCTTTTGTTTTTTATCCCATCCAAAAAGTGTTTGATTAAAAAAATACAAAAATACTGTACATGAATTTCTAATCATCTTAAAGTTTGATTTGGAACAGTAGGACAATTTAGTGTTGGAAAAAGTTCATCCATACAAAAATCCTCGAGATTTGTTTTATTGTCAAAAAGATCTTTACCATCGGTGTTGTCATTCCAACTTAATTTTTTTCTGAATTTTTTATTGTTAAGTCGGTGGATTTGTAAACCAAGAAAAAATTGTAAGGCCTTTTTAATCAAACAGCTGTGTAAAATCCAACTGGGACCAAGAATAGGTCTATTTCAGGCACATGTCACTTTTGGGCTTTTATGCAGAGTAAATTCCCATTTTGCGCTAAGCAGTATTTCTTTGTCACTTCACATGAAGCTTACAATTGGACTGGTCTTATACTAACAGTGTTTTCCAGCTGTTTTACACTAAATAGTAAACCCATCAGGAACCACAGAAAACATTAGTTAGCTCCCAAAGAGCATGAAAGTGTCAAGGGAAAAGACAGTAGATAAGGTATCAAGAGTGAATTAATTTGTTAATAACAGATCATACCCATGCTGAAAGTGTTGAATCCAATATGAATTATTTGTCAAGTGTTACTTATTGCCAGATATTTGAAAGATAACGTCAAACAAACATCTTCCTGACACAACTTACCATAAGCTTATGTATCTAATAATTTGTCACTTCGTTACATTTTTATCATTAAATGAACAGAACAGCAAGAAGTAAGGGATTGACTTGAAGGATAATGGCAGCTTCAGAAACCACTGGTGGTTGACTAGTGGCACATCTGAGAACAGCTACAAGCAATACATGCGTACCTCTAGTTTTGGGTGGGCATAGAACTCGTTGAGGAAATCCATGATGGCCTCGACGTTGAGGACGCTGGAGCAGACCACCACGTGTTTGTTTCGGGACGCTGCTCGCTGACTGTACTCTCCCCCAGCCTTCTGCCGCTCGATCCACGTTGAGGCAATCACTTCAATCTGATGAGGAAATAAAGATGAAACATTGCAGTAATTTAAGCTCAGTTTTTTCATTCAGATCTGAAGCTCTTTGGCTTATAGTTTGTTCTAAAAGTATTAACACATAATAATATCTATAGCTTGTGGATAAATCAGTGTTAAGAAAAACTCAGTCATTCTAAGAAAACTGTAAATCTTAATCAATGACTTCTTGAACACGTTGAGATATCTGACTCCCGTCTTCAGTGATGGTAGAGCTTATGCTTCTGGATTCAAATCTTATGCAAAACCACTACTGTGAAATCAGGTTGGGTGATTTTCTTTCTAAATGCCTGATCTTAGAAATATCAAGAAATATAAGTCCCCAGCAACATTTTATTGTAAAAACTGACTACATGGATCAGGAGGACAGGCTCAGTGACTTTGTTAAATATAGATCATTGTATCGCATTGGCTCGACGGTCATGTAATGCAATCACTGGATTGTTTGGTCCACACATGATTATGTACAAGCCGCCGTCATAAAGCTACAAAATTGCTGGGTGCTGCATTAATCAACAAACAAAACAAATCATCTAAGAATCTGAAACAATGAAACCAAGGGACATAACTCATGCAGGAATAGCAAGCTCAACTCTCCATGTATGAAACCACTGCTTCCCTTCATCTGCTGTTTGCCGACGACTGACACAAACATTCAAGTATGCAGCATAATTATCAAAATCACATTAACAAACAAACTGTATCTTCAACACAATACCTGGTTGAGATCTATGTCACCAGTTGGTGAACTTCATGGTATATAGATTTCAACAATAGTGTCTCTTAACGTGGCCCAGATTATTTACAAATACATGTATACCCATGTCTGTTTTCAAGTAACATAACTCATGTGTACTTGATGAATGGAAGTAAATGGCTGTTAAAGTCATAAACTTGAGGCAACTTTATCTGTCAGCTAGGATCTGACATATGCATATATCCCTACTAGGAGCCTGGAGGGTAGAGTGGTGTGCAATCTTGAGTGTGACTTCAGGAAAGTATCTTTCATCTCAAAGCAGTGATAGATACTTCATGTAAATATATTGCTGATGCAGTACACTTGAGGATTGAGAATATTTCTGTAAGTTCGGTGATTGTTTCCATGGTTACCTGTCTGGGTATGAAGGCCAGAGCAATGCATATCATGAGGATCATGAAGAGTTGTCCCAGCCAGATGTCCGGCGAAATGTCCCCATAGCCGACTGTTGAGAATGTCACGATGACAAAGTATAATGACTCGAACATTGTCAGCGGTGTCTCCGAGCTGCCTCTCTGGATATGTTGTATTCCGCAGATTCTGGGGAGAAACGGTACATCAGTATCAGAAATGGGGAAAATAAACTCAAAATATGTTCACATTTTAACCTGACACATGTATATTTGAAGATTCTTGATTGAATTTGGAACTAAGTGAACACAAAAGACAGGCTCAGTCTAACATTTTGAGTAGGTTGCCATTAATAAAAACACTTTATTCACATGCATGAGAGGCAATCAAAATTTGTATACCAGATACTTTGTAAGCTGACAATGAAGCAGAAACCCCCAAAGAAAATGAAGTTACCTTTAAACGTTTACTTCTAAACAGCGTTTTGTCACCTACATTTGCTGGTATTTGAAAGTACATTCTCAAAACAGATCTTATTGCCTGGGCACAGGTGGTCCAGTCATCTAAGATGCTACAATACCTGTGCAGTGTTGCATCCCTTGGGCAGGCCAGAAACCTATGATTGTGGGTTCAAATCCTGGTTTGCCCAAATTATGTTTCTAGGTTTGTCAGCACCTGGAGTTCTGTTCAAAGCGACATTAAACCCAACTCACTCACTTTTGCAGTGATGTGGTATTTGAATCAGAGGTATGCTGTGACTATTTGAAACCTCTGATTTATCAAACATATTCCAGCTGTGTGTGCTGTAGTAACACTTTCACAACTCACGTGGTGAACACCATACAGATGAGACTGGCCACCAGAAGCAGGATCTGCTGGGACAAGGTCACTGAGATGGTTTGGAAGCGTGTCCGGGTCAAGTGAAGGTCATTCTAGAAGATCAACACAATTTCTACCTTTACTTTACATGGAAATAGTAATAATGTATTTTTTAGAGGAAAAATATCATTTATTCTTATCTGGACCCATACTTCTTGCTTATCTCATCTCATTTACGAAAGGTAGTGGAAACCTCCTGAACAATGTTCCCAGAGAACAGAAAAACAGTTCACCTGAATGCACCCCTGAGCTGCATGTTGGCACCAAATGCATGTGACCATGCCAGTAGACTCCTCACTCTCTCATTAGCGTATGTGTCAGGATAAGTAAAAAAGATATTTTTACTCTAAAAAATACATATTTTTACCTTATCCTGACTCATACTTATTGTTTGAATCTTAGAGAAGGAGGTGGGTTCCATAAGGTGTGATTCAGAATGTGATCTGTTCATACAACCCCATGGGTACTTGAATCTTCTTAGTAATATATATCCATGCTTTATCACTAGTTGGAATGGTTCCGGACAGAGCATCTATTCTGTTGGTGATGGTTTGGATGGCCTGTCTATATCTTCCCGAGGCAAGAGAGTAAACTGTCTATAAAAGTCCAGTTTCCACCCTTGCCGAACTAGGCTGGTATTATGGAGTTACATTTTGTCTGGACTAACGAGTCTATGCATAGTTCAATCAAAATCGCGCATCGAAATCAAAATCCGGTTCGTAAAGTGTTGTGCAGATTTCGATCGATTGCAGGATTTGCAAAGCATGTGCACGGCCAACTCGTTGTCAGCAGATATTTTCCAAATCTTTTTTTTATGTTTTTAATCAAGGTGCTCACGTGATTTGATGCATTTCACAATGTAAGACCCGTTTTATCACAATAAAGATCTTGATTATCGATCAGATTGTCCTGACTGGGCGCCACCATTTTGTGTGAAGCAAACGCAAGTGATATGAGAGGTGGAATCTGATTGGTCCACAGGAGAGGTTTAGAAGGGACATAATTGGTAATAGCCACTGGTGGCGCAACGATCGAGCCCAGTAATTCCAGCCTAGTTCGGCAAGGGTGGAAACTGGACTTTTAAAGTCAGTTAACTCCCTTGCCTCGGGAAGATGGCCTGTCTAAGGCGTCTGCTAATACATTTGATTCTTTGAATGTGTGTTGCCTTTATTCTGAGATTCAGGCTGTGTGACTGTACAGTTGGAATGTTAGTCTCAGAAGGGTTGCTGATCTTGTCATTCCTTGGAGATTTATGTAGAATGTGACAGTTGAGTTGTCTGTTCTTATCACAAGAAACTTGTTTCTCAACTGTGGTGCCCAATGCGCTATTGCTTGGATTACTGCCTCGGACTCTAGGTGGCTGATGTGATAGAGCTTTTCTTCTGCTGACCATAGCCCTGATGCTACTTCTGAGTTGAGTGTGCCGATGACGAACAGATGACGGTTGTAATCCAGGCTCATTCAAAAAGGTTGCTCCACAGACATTTGACTTGGATGTCCACCATTGAAGATATTTCTTCAGCTGTTGTGGTAGTTGAAGTCTGAGATCCTGATGATTAAGGAAGGGTCTTAGGAATCTTTGAATGGGAAGAAGTTGTAGTCTGCATCTTACAGTCAGTGCTTGGGCGAACGTGAGTAGACCTAGTATGACTTACCATTGGTTGAATGGTATCTGCTTGTGGATGGCACCTTTAAGACAGCTTTCAATCTTGCTAAACTGATCCTCTGGTACTTGAATGAGTTTGTTTTATTAGAAACCTTATGCCGAGAAACTTCAGATTTTGAGATGGCTGAAGATTCAACTTCTGGTAATTGATTAACCAGCTGAAAGTTGGGACATCTGGCTGTATTTTCTCTACCGCTGCCTTGACCAGAAGTGTGTTGATTGCTTCTGTTAACATTGCAGTACATCCAGGTATTTTAGTATTGGAGGATTGAGGGAGAGCGGGTGATACTCTTTTTGAGAATATCTGTGATAAAAGGGTAGTTCAAATGTCCCAATTCTTCCAGTTTCTTGCCAGCCTTCCACCTACTCTTGATTGCGGTACATGGACACGGAAGGTCCCACTTGTTCATCAGCTCTCCAGCTTTCCACCTACTCTTGATTGCTGTACATGGACACAGGAGGTCCCACTCATTCATCAGCTCTCCTTGCCAGCCTTCCACCTACTCTTGATTGCTGTACATGGACACGGAAGGTCCCACTCGTTCATCAGCCTTCCTTGCCAGCCTTCCACCTACTCTTGATTGCTGTACATGGACACGGAAGGTCCCACTCGTTCATCAGCTCTCCTTGCCAGCCTTCCACCTACTCTTGATTGCTGTACATGGACACGGAAGGTCCCACTTGTTCATCAGCTCTCCTTGCCAGCCTTCCACCTACTCTTGATTGCTGTACATGGACACGGAAGGTCCCACTCGTTCATCAGCTCTCCTTGCCAGCCTTCCACCTACTCTTGATTGCGGTACATGGACATGGAAGGTCCCACTCGTTCATCAGCTCTCCTTGCCAGCCTTCCACCTACTCTTGATTGCGGTACATGGACACGGAAGGTCCCACTCGTTCATCAGCTCTCCTTGCCAGCCTTCCACCTACTCTTGATTGCTGTACATGGACATGGAAGGTCCCACTCGTTCATCAGCTCTCCTTGCCAGCCTTCCACCTACTCTTGATTGCTGTACATGGACATGGAAGGTCCCACTCGTTCATCAGCTCTCCTTGCCAGCCTTCCACCTACTCTTGATTGCGGTACATGGACATGGAAGGTCCCACTCGTTCATCAGCTCTCCAGCCTTCCACCTACTCTTGATTGCTGTACATGGACACGGAAGGTCCCACTTGTTCATCAGCTCTCCTTGCCAGCCTTCCACCTACTCTTGATTGCTGTACATGGACACGGAAGGTCCCACTCGTTCATCAGCTCTCCTTGTCAGCCTTCAACCTACTCTTGATTGCTGTACATGGACATGGAAGGTCCCACTTGTTCATCAGCTCTCCTTGCCAGCCTTCCACCTACTCTTGATTGCGGTACATGGACATGGAAGGTCCCACTCGTTCATCAGCTCTCCTTGCCAGCCTTCCACCTACTCTTGATTGCTGTACATGGACACGGAAGGTCCCACTCGTTCATCAGCTCTCCTTGCCAGCCTTCCACCTACTCTTGATTGCTGTACATGGACACGGAAGGTCCCACTCGTTCATCAGCTCTCCTTGCCAGCCTTCAACCTACTCTTGATTGCTGTACATGGACACGGAAGGTCCCACTCGTTCATCAGCTCTCCTTGCCAGCCTTCAACCTACTCTTGATTGCTGTACATGGACACGGAAGGTCCCACTTGTTCATCAGCTCTCCTTGCCAGCCTTCCACCTACTCTTGATTGCGGTACATGGACATGGAAGGTCCCACTCGCTCATCAGCTCTCCTTCATCCATCCTCCTGAGGCAACCGACTATAAAAGTCCAGTTTCCACCCTTGCCGAACTAGGCTGGAATTCCGGAGCTACAGTTTGGCTGGACTAACGAGTTGATGCAAAGTCCAACCAAATTCATGTAACGAACTAAACATTCGATGGGTAAACAACATGGAGTAGTCTTGCTTGTGGTCTACTAAATGCAGACGTCTTGCCTCCTTTGCAATTAGATTGCTTGTCCTTCTGAATTCCAGAAAATCTGCTCTTGAACTGTAACCTTTGCATGGACTGTTTGTACATTGAATTCAAGTTCTGGACAGATTGAATCAACATCTGGTCCTTTGAATCCTGTATTTCTTTGTTGACATTCCAGATCAAAGATGGATGTAGATTCCCGGGGTTGATGTAATAAGAGATGATAATTGGCTATTAGACCTTGACGAAGCAGTTGAGTAAGACCTGCAGAAGCTGAGCTGATATGATCTGAGACGAATACTTGATTCTCTTCTGATCTTGCTGGTAAAATTTGTCCAACTACTCAGTTGACACGAAAATGAGAGAGTGATGAGTCTACCGGCTTGGTCACATAACATGCTTCCTGTGCACATGTGCGGCTCAGGGGTGCATTCAGGTGAGAAGTTTTTCTGTTCTCTGTGAACACTGTTCAGGAAATTTCCACTACCATTTGAAAAAAAGATGACACAAGCAATAAGTATGAGTCAGGAAAAGGTAAAATTATACCTATTTTGCAATGCACATACAAGAATATACTGCTGTTTCAAAGAATTATGGTTTTATGTCTCTGAATTAAAAAAATCAAATATAGATGCTCAATTGGGTGGATAACTATGAATATCAATACATATTTTCTGTAGCTTAAAGTTATGACAAGTTGTCCTTGACCGTTTCAGTTCTACATCACCTAAACGACTGGCATCAGTAGGGTAGTTTAAGACACTTACAAATATTCTTTCCAGTGCTAGTTTTGCCAACCAGCAGTTGAGGAATCCCGGCACAAACAGATGCTGCATCAGAGGAGGGTAGGCTAACTGCAATTGCGAACAGACAACATTACATAACAGAGTGAGTGTTGTTTTATGTTGTTTAGGCCAGACAAATCAGTGGTTGATAGCATCAGCATCAATGATACAACCAGGGTCTAATGGCATATAATCAGTCAGGTCACACACTGTAACCGGATGATTACCACTGCAGCCAGGCACCTAAGTTTGTTTGTTTAACGCCACACTCAGCATCATTCCAGCTATGTGAAGCGGCCTATAAATAATTAAATCTGGACCAGACAATCCAGAGATTGATATTTTGATCAATGATGCAATGCACCAAGTCACAAAGACTCGGCACCTGATCCAATAAGTCGCCTCTCACGACCTGCCTAGGTTGCTGGGGTGCAAGTCTAACCCGGGATCTCCATGGGGAGCCAGGCATGAGGTACTGGGGTGCTGTCACACCCTTGAAGGTCTGGGTGGGAGCACGCTCAAGGAGCAGAGATTCCACCCCACATGAAGGCAATTGTCTTGGGTAGTTGGTTTGGATGAGAATGAATCCTTCCCATCACAAACCAAAACATATAATTATTAGCTGATTTCTAATTCAGGGTTCATACAGATATGGAACACTAAGAATCATGGCTTTTAAACTGTCATTTTCAAGGCCTTTTTAGTTTCAGTAAATATTTTCTTTAAAAAAACAGCGTATAATATGGTAACTGTAAGACTTTAAAAGCAGTATGAACATCACAAATCTTCCAAGATGTATTTTCACAACCAACTAACATAATAAATTACGTCTATCATGAATTTCAATACCAATATTAACAAGTGTATGTGATGCTGGACAAATTTAAGGCCTCTCAAGCTATTTGGGAGATTTTCAAGGCATTTCAAGGTTGGCAACTAAAAACCAAGGCGTTTCAAGAGGGACTATACAATTCATGGCCCTTTCAAGCCTGTATGAAATTTTTAAATGGTTGTATCAAATCTTGTATTTTCAGAGACTGATTTTAAACACATAGCATACATTACAGGTGTGTTGTTTCACTTTATCATGTTGGCTGATTTTGGTCAAATAATTGTAATGATTCCTCCCAGCTTGTAATGGTTGCCATGTGTGTATTAGCTGTACTTACTGTGAGGAGATAGGGCGTGCTGCAGATCACCTCCAGGAAGAAGTTGGACGTGAGGATCTGCTCCATCCTGTGACCCTGGAACAGAAGTATGTTGTGTCAGACGAGATCGTGTCAGACGTAGATTGTGTCAGATGTAGATTATGCCAGAAGTGAATTGTGTTAGAAGTGGGTAGTGTTAGAAGTAGATTGTCAGAAGTGAATTGTGTCAGAAGTAGATTGTGTCAGACAAATCGTGTCAGACATAGATTGTGTCAGATGTAGATTATGCCAGAAGTGAATTGTGTTAGAAGTAGATTGTGTCAGAAGTGAATTGTGTCAGAAGTAGATTGTGTCAGAAGTGGGTAGTGTTAGAAGTAGATTGTCAGAAGTGAATTGTGTCAGAAGTAGATTGTGTCAGAAGTGAATTGTGTCAGAAGTAGATTGTGTCAGAAGTGAATTGTGTCAGAAGTGGGTAGTGTTAGAAGTAGATTGTGTCAGAAGTGAATTGTGTCAGAAGTAGATTGTATCAGACGTGAATTGTGTCAGAAGTGGGTAGTGTCAGAAGTAGATCATGTCAGAAGTGAATTGTGTCAGAAGTAGATTGTGTCAGAAGTGAATTGTGTCAGAAGTGAATTGTGTCAGAAGTGGGTAGTGTTAGAAGTAGATTGTGTCAGAAGTAGATTGTGTCAAGGTAGATTGTGTCAGAAGTGAATTGTGTCAGAAGTGGGTATTGTTAGAAGTAGATTGTGTCAGAAGTGAATTGTGTCAGAAGTAGATTGTATCAGCAGTTGACTGTGTCTGAGGTAGTTTGTGTCAGAAGTAGATTGTGCCAGAAGTAGATATTGTCAGGCATAGATTGTGTCAGACGTAGATAGTGTGTGATGCAGTTTGTGTCAGTCCTAGATTGTATCAGTAATCGATTGTGTCAGAAGTCGATTGTGTCAGAATTAGGCCCTTAAGATGATGTAAACTCTCACCTTGGTTTGGATGTACATCAGAATTAGGGCCTGATAACGGTGAGAAGTCTCACCTTGGTTGTGACGTAGACTAGAATTAAGGCCTGATAACGGTGAGAAGTCTCACCTTGGTTGTGACGTAGACTAGAATTAAGGCCTTGAAGATGGTGACTGCTGAGAGGGAGACTTGCATGATCCACAGCCACAGCGGCCGACGCACCCACAACAACACGTACCTAGATGCAGCACAACAAACAACGTACATGCGAGTCACACACAACACGGATACGTCAACATGCCAATAGGGATAAATCATGGGGTTTTCACAGAAAACATATTGTCAGAACGAAAACCAAACAAATTCACAACGAAAACCAAACAAAACAAATATTCACACAATAACATAGTAAACATGCTCTATTGAAAAAAATCTCTTGTGCGTTATTGGAAGAACTTATCAAAGTGAAAAACTGATTGCATGAGATGGATAAAGATTACTTCCTTTTCCCATAATATAACATTAGTTGCCCTACTACAAGTCCCCTGCACACAGACAGGTCGAGGGTCGGGTTTCACAACTAAATCGCAGCAGTAGTTGTAGAGTTGATATTACTGAGACGGGGAGAAGTACCTGCCATACTACAAGTCCCTTGCACACAGTCAAGGTCGAGGGTCATGTTTCACAACAAAATCGCAGCAACAGCTATATTTGTAGATTTGACATGACGGTGGGACGGGGACAAGAACCAGTTATGAAATATCTCATCTGACTTGTAAAGATGTTGGGCAGTGGTATCAGAAATAAGAAACCGTTCTAGTGTCCATCAGCGTTGCAGTCGGTGACTTCAGCCAATAGTACGAAGCCTGAGTCTAGTAAAAATCTGTTCTGCATAGAAGCTCAGCTAATGATAGTTCATATAATCACACTACAATATCTATTAACTTATATTTACCAACACAGTAAACTACGGTTATAACGAACTCAAAGGGACCAATATGTTTTGTTTGTTACAACCGTAGTTCGTTATAATCGTTTCAACTAAAGGATTCAGCAAATGGGACCAAAAACAAGTTCGTTATAGCCATCACTTCGTTATAATCACGTTCGTTATAGCCATCACTTCGTTATAATCACGTTCGTTATAGCCATCACTTCGTTATAATCATGTTCGTTATAGCCATCACTTTGTTATAATCACGTTCGTTATAGCCATCACTTCGTTATAATCACGTTCGTTATAGCCATCACTTCGTTATAATCATGTTCGTTATAGCCATCACTTCGTTATAATCATGTTCGTTACATACGTAGTTTACTGTATTTGACATAAGTACATTCGGTAATAGACTTATGGGAATATTTTGTGAAAACAGAACCAAGGAATGAGTAGTGAGTGAGTGAGTGAGTATGGTTTTACGCCGCTTTTAGCAATATTCCAGCAATATCACGGGGGGGGGGGGGGGGGACACCAGAAATGGGCTTCACACATTGTACCCATGTCGGGAATCGAACCCGGGTCTTCGGCGTGACGAGCGAACGCTTTAACCACTAGGCTACCCGACCGCCCCAAAGGAATGAGTAAGTTCCCCTGTTAGTGTTCTATCACCTATCATGCTATCAATTCTATCACAGCACACCTATCACACACAGACATGGTGAGTATATCACTCATTTCATGCAGGTCTGATGGGTGATGTACCACCAGAAGGGGAAACCCACCAGTTGATGTCTGTGGAAGAGAACAGCATTTCACCCTGCTCCTCGTTGGTGGTGTTGTTCCGGCTACATGGTGCTGCTCGGCCGTTGCTGGAAACACATGACGGGGCAAGTTACATGTATGTCATAAATAGAGAGATGACTACAGAGGATAATGCTGTAAGCTGACGTTCAATAGGAACAGTTTTCTCAGATTTACTTTGGAAAACTAGAAAGGTGTTTGCAAATACAGTGATTTTGACACAAAAGGCTCTATATAGGTCAATGACTTGGACCCAAGAAATGTAAATGGCAAAGTCAATAAGTCAAATAAACAAAAGTGGGCTATGTAGTTAAATTTCGAAGATGAATCAGTACTTTTAAAAAATCTGGTATACATCCGCGCCTCAAGTTACCTGCTGGGTCTGGGAGCAAAACTGTCATAAACTTTGCCCCCCATCCCCCAGACACCCCTCGTTATAGTGCAAGTAATCGTGATAGAAAACATATGATGTTTGAAAGCCTATGATCCGACAATAATATTATTGTATCATGCACAAGAATACAGGCATCATGCTGAAAACTCTGATCGAAAACAGGACAATATGTGTACTGTACATTCTCAGTATGACACAAAACTTTATGAGAGCATTTCATTGGTCATAAAAATCGATACCATAAGTAGGAATAATCTTTACTATTTACTTTTAATCATGAAATTATGAAATGTGTGATGCCTTGCTTAGCATTTCTATCAGTCAAAAGTAGGACAACTTAAACAAACCATCTGTCAATCCAAAATTTTATTGGTCTATGACCGGAGCCCGAGAGCCATCTGAAACCCTGAAATACCTGCAGCAACTAAAGCAGACCCTTGCAACCATAAGATTTAAGAATATCTGTCGAAAAAAGCATTTTTTTGAAAATAGCATGCATGCCGTATGAATAACTATCACTTTGACCTTGGCCTTATGCTTAGGTCTCTCATGACCTTTTCCGATCTCGGCCCCACCCCAAGGACGATATGTACAAGTTTCAATGAACAACAGTAAGTCTTTCTCCAGTTTCAGGCAACCTTGAGGATGACCTTAACCCTTGACATGGCATATTGATTAGGGTTGTAATGATTCACCGATACCTACGATATCATCAACACTTAGGTACAGATGATACTTGAATTGTCAGTTTGTGAGATCGTAGTACACTATAAATAGAACAGGAATTGATATAGAGTTACCAGCCATAATGGCAGAAGTAGCACCACGCCACATGTAACCACGGCTGAACCCGAGGACATGGTGGTAGAGGATGCACTCACTAACTATTACATTTAATACCCATCACTTCATTTAAAACTGTTTTGTTCTTGTTATTTGATAAGAAGTTTTTGTTTTTGAGATAATAATAAATGCATGTATAAGGCAAGAGGTTGTATTTCAGAGATTTTATCATTTCATACTATTTGTTGCGGAGTACCTTCATACCACTGGTATTGTCAGTCTGTTTGATGATATGTATCGTATCACAAGATACCAGGCGATACTCTGCTCTAGTATCAATGTGTTAAAATACCATTCCAGGGCTATAAAATAGCTATACAAGATATAATATCCATGAGATGTCCAAACACCACAAGGCTTCAAGAACGATGTGAGATAGCAGAGTTACCTACCATGCGTACAGCGACGTGTCATCAAGGTGAACACGTGCTATGTAGATCAGACATATCACACAGCGGATGATCAGATCAAAGAATGTACTGGCTAGACCTGAAACACAGCAACAAATATCTGTAGGTGCCGTCGAAATCATCTAGTCAAACTTATACAAACCTTTTCTTATTTGAAGAGCTGCAAAACTAATCTAAACTCAGAAGTGATAATGTGTGTAGAAAACTTTCATCTAATGAAACATTAGCATTAGTGACTTCACATGAAATCAAAACTTATAATATCTAAAAATACAAACTGGGATATATCTAACAACAAACTGACTTCTTACACTTTAACCTTGGGTCAAATTTGCACACAAAAACACCAACAATTTAAAAAAATGTATAGCCTTACAGTTATAAACATGGATTTGATCATTTGGAAATCTGTATGGTACAATATTCCCTAGCAACATACAGTGAACGTGGTTACATTCAGTGAAAGAGATGTGTTATATTTTGATTGTTAAGAAAACCCACATTTTCGTTTCACGGGACCTCAGTCCGTAAACCTCAAATACAACAAAAAATGTTATAAATACATTTCATGTCTACTTCACTCTCAGTGATTCAAGAAATTGCAGTTTTAACTCCCTGGCAGAATCACTTTTTTATAAATAAATAAATAAATAAATAAATCAATAAATCAATAGATAAATAAATAAATAAATAAATAAATAAATAAATAAATAAATAAATAAATAAATAAATAAATAAATAAATAAATAAATATTTGACATTCATTTTTATTTCTATTTTGACTGACCTAAACAAAATGGAATATCAATATTTTCAGTACAAAACAGATGGGTGAGGTGACACCTACGTGATGAAGAGTTCCGTATCAGGAGTCTCCGCAGCCTCCCTCTGATAGACAACTCGTGGGTAAAAAACTTGACTGGCGCGATCCTGAAATAAACAATCCCCACGGTTACCACAGGTGACATTAGCTCATCTCTACCTGTAATCAGAACATTGATACTTAGAAATCTCATACCATATACCCTGCAAACACCTGATACCAGATAACCATCTAAATTTGGGTGAATATTGTATACAATTATAAAGGACCAATCAGATGTGTGATATGAGCCAGTTAAACTGGCTTTTTGTTTGCTGACAATGGCAATACACCAAGGCAGTGATCGTGTTGATGTCCATACCATATTCACCGTAACAAGCATTCTGGGTGCTTAGAAAATTGACAAAGGGGACTCTTAATATAAACCATACACAAGTTAAATCTGTTTTCCGAGTTCAAATGTCGGAGAAACTATAATTTAAGATAATAGTCACAAGGCAGTTATTTACACCAGTGCTGCTGATTCCTGTAAAAATATCTGTATTATACATAAGAACATATGGACTGTCATGTAAATATAATGCTTTTGTAGGGGGGTGCATATTAAGATTACTACAGATTGGTTTAGAAATTAGTCAGGGGGAACTCAGGGGGCACAGAGTGTTTAATATGGGGAAAATGGTATACGTTTGTTCTTCTCTGACTACCAAACTTTCTAAGAAGCCTCTAACAGAAGACACAATGTTTCAAACACCACACATGAGGATCACATCTCTTTTATTCAATAGAGCAAACCTGTGCCAGTCATCAGGGTCAAAGTTTGGGTCATCTTCATCGTCACTTTCAGACTGCCACCCAAGGTCAATTCTTTCACAGACAGGAATCTGTTCAAAGTCCATTGCTGTAAGAGAAAGAATCACATTTAACTAGAACCAATCACAATCCATCAGAGAGACCTGGCCGAGACAATGACCAGGCATGAACTGGCTGCAAATTATTGTGCCCTTTATTCACACAAACATGAGAATTAATGCAAATTATCGCATTTGCATCCTTAAAACTAGCATATAATATACATTGACTTGAACTGACATTTATTTTCTGACAAGAAATAACTGTCTATGTCCGTTTTCTTCACAATTTTATTTTTAAAAAAGCATTAGCTTCAGAGTTAGTGAGTGAGTGAGTGAGTTGGGTTTAATGCCGCTTTTAACAGTATTCCAGTTATATCGCGGCGTGTCAGCTTAATGTGGGAGGAAAGCCTGAAGTGATGCAGGTCTCAGACATTTACCACTTCGGTGAAACCCACAAGCACGGGTATGGTGCTGACAAACCTAGAAACATAACCAGGATTCGAACCCACAATCATAGGTTTCTGGTGTGCCCAAGCAACGCAACTCTGCACAGCGAATCGCGGCGCCTTAGACGACAGGGCCACCTGTGGCCCCCATTGGCTTCAAAGCGAGGACATAACATCAAAAGTTTGCGAAGTCAAGTCAAATGTACGATCAGTCCAAAGCTGAGCCCCTAAGTGTGTTTGATTATAAAAATTTGAGTCAACTGAGGTTACCACATTTCTGGCAATAAGAGTCGATTGGTTACCCAAAATTAATCGAACACCAAAACGCAACTGAATACATAATAGCCAATGGCTGGCAGCAGGATACATGCTTTAGCCTTGTGAATTCAAATAACACAACAAGATTATAAGAGGTTTACAAGTGTATTATTGTCAAACAAAGCCGCCATTTTACCTTTTTCATATCATGTATGTTAAATGAAAGCAAAGTTTACAAACTCAACATCCAAGTTTCATTATTGATTCTAAAGAATTTATAGCAACAAACAAAAGTGAAATTTCCCTCACACCTAACAGAAAACATATTTACTATGCCCAGTTGATCATATGCATAAAAATGTGTTTATTCATGATTGATACAATCAAGAAAACTAACTTCACCGATGACGTCACTTGGAGGCTGCGAACCAGAGAACTGCACCCCAGAGGGTTCAGTAGGTATGGGCAACTTAGGTTAACTGAAGTATGACGTAAGTAAATCAGTTAACGTGTTCTAACATTGGTCAACAATAGTTAACTCTGATCAACACATTTTCGCCAGGGATGTCCAGGGTTTTGAAATTGAAAGCAAGCCGCGTATTATAATTCATAGGACGTAAACATTATTGATAAGAATATGCAAGACTTACCAATAGACAGACATAATTCCCTGAAGTACTGACAGCCAAGGAATGCTTAAAGTGTATATTGAATCATCTTGATTAATACATGATCAATCTCCACAAAGGGACTATCCATATATGGGATGATAAAGAGCACCACTTGTATCACCAATGCCATGTTTCGGTAAGAACTGTCCGACAACTTATTGCAGTGTTTAACAAACAGATCAGGGAGATTGTATCGATGTGTATCATATTGGACAGAATGTATTGCAACTAACTGACACATCAGTATATCAGGATATCTCCAGAACCTGGAAACAAGAATGCCATTCTTTACTTTGTTTCAAAGAAGTATAATTATGAACACAGCTCAGTTCAATCGTTTCATTGGGGATATATTGTTTGTTTGTTTGTTTAACACCACATTGAGCAATATTCCTGCTATATAGTCACCGTCTATAAATTATCAAGTCTGCATCAGACAATTAAGTGGTTGACACCATGAGCATCGATCTACGCATTTGGGATACGATGACATGCATCAACCAAGTCGGTGATTCTGATCCCATCAGTTGCCTCTTACCACAAGTAAGGGTTGCTTATCAGGGATCAGAACATAAGTCTTAGTCAGTCATTTGCCAGCTTGTTCTGGTTTACCTTACGCTGGAGCATAGTGGTGGGTTACATTATTGGCCTGAATGTTGTACTGCAATTTATTGTGATAATGATTCATGTACTGCTGACATAGCACAATATATTGCATGCTTTCTTTCATCTGTAATTTGTTATCATCCTGAATACCCCCCTTCCCCTATGTTTTTGACAAATTCAAATTTTGTTGGATGTTGCTATGGTCACAAAGCATATGAAATAAACACATCATATACAGGAAACTGTCACAAATAGTTTCACTGTTTCAACCACAGGAAAATTTCCATTTGAGTTGTCTCTGGTATAAAATCTTAAAACAAGATTATTTGCAGGGTTTTGAAAAATGCAATATAACGGTATTTTCCAAATCTATTGTGGTACATATTCATTGGTAATTCATATCGAGGTATACCGGTAATATCACACACCTCTACTGGTACATGCATGTAATCATAGCAAGCTGTGAAACGTCTCGAGTCTGATATTTGCATTAGCCTGGCTTTGACAGCTGCTGATGGACTGTAAGCATACTGGTTAATAGCCATCATATCCAAGAAGTATCATTATTTTTCAAAACAAAGAAACGTCCTATTCTACTCTGTGTAGAGTGTTTTTACGCATCTGGAAATCAATTTATCACTTCTAATATTTCCAAATAAACATGGCAAAGTAGCACTTTTTTCAAAATGTTGGATGTTTAGAATGTGCCACCCTCATACCGAAATACATAAACTTAAATCATTTATGTCCTGATGCAATTTGAAACTATTCCATCATCAAGATCAGATCATCCACAGCAATACGTCATCTGCTCCTTCACATAATATCACCAAGTCATTTGCAGATACTTCCAAAGGGTACATGGAAGTTTGGAATATATGCAAGGATTTTATCTAGAATTTCAAACTACCTTGGCAGGTAAACTGGGAAAAAACTAATTATTAGGTTGAAAATTGTGATTTTATAAATAGATTTGTAACTTCTTAACATGCTGAAACTCAGAGTGCTTTAAAGGGCAAGTTCACACGGAAATGAACCTATTTTTCTTGTACTTTTTCCACATTAAAAGTGTTAACATAGAAGTGTCATAGACAAAAATATAAAAATATCACAATTAATTAACATATTTTTCGCATTAAATCGATTTATATTTTTCACATTTACCAAGTGTTCTATTTCCACAACAAAAACACCATGGCTTATGCCCCTTGCAATATGACGTCATTGGTGCCAATTGATAAACATTATGACGTCATCATGCTTTGTTAGAGCCGCTTCACGTGGTGTAGGTCCAGGTGTGTGATTCTAGCGTCTCAGATGCCAGCCAGCATAGTGTTATGCTGAGTCACCACTGCGCCGGAATGTGTCGTAGGCCATGTTGTTTTACCGCAAACTGGTACTTGATATCTTTTGCGTTGAGAATAGACAGGGACCCAGTTGAATTGGCACCAATTACGTCATAATCTAAGGGGGATAACTCAGGCCTGTTTAGCTCGAAAAACGAAGGCCTCATAACGGCATATCATTTTCACACTATTGTGAGCTTCCTACGTTCACTGTGAAAAAAATGAGGGTATATTTTCAAACACAGATACTAATTAATTCTAAAATTGCGTTTTGTTTAGAAAAAGAAAGAAAGTGATTTTTGCGTGTACACTTCCCCTTTAAACAAGGCATAACATTAAGTTCAAAAGCAAATACCATTATATTGAACTCCAAGTCACCTCTACAAAGACATAACATTTAATGGTTGAATATCATGAGTTGCGAAATTTTATACTTGTAAGTCCTCAAATCCCTCCACCCAGAAACCAACAAATTAAAAATGCTTGCAAAGTAACTGCCTCTTAACTACAGCCATAAACTCCTTTTTATTAGCAGATTCATAGCAGCATATATACTCACAAAATCATGAGTGGTGACGATAGTCATAAATACAGACACAAGTGATAGCAGTATTTGTCAACTATCAGAAAGTCCATGCAATAATTCCATCTGCTGATGACACAGACACAAAGCCAACCTCTTCCACTCCAATGTTATTGTTGCATGCATAACCAAGGGGCCCTGGAGCTACACTGCCCTGGGGTTGTGCAAGCTAATCCATTCACCCTGGTTGTGTTCGCTGAAGTAATGGGCAGGGGGACAGGTGATCCTGCATGGGTACACATTAAACACCACCTCTCCAGGCTGACATAACTCAACGGGTTACTTCAGATTCTCAAAACAAGCACAATGAATCTTATTGGTTTGTAACGACTCACTGAACACTGAACAGAGCTAGAGATTAACTGTAAAGTCTTCTAGTTCTAGCCAATGGTTATACCAATAACACAGGCTAAAAGGTCAGACTTTACAGTCCCTTAATACCCGGCAAATATTTTGGCAGGCTACCCAGTGTTACTTTGGCCACTTTTCTATCCTGCTTAAACATTTGCGCTACAAGAAATGAGTATCCTTTTGATACAAAACCAGACATTATGTATATAAGTTATTTTGGACATGGAAGGACATGGTACATTAATCATGTTGAAATGCTTGAAAATATATTCTAAAGTACCCTGATGGTATGGACATCAAGACTTTTCATCAAGTGAGTGAGTGAGTGAGTATGGTTTTACACCGCTTTTAGCAATATTCCAGCAATATCACGGCGGGGGACACCAGAAATGTGCTTCACACATTGTACCCATGTTGGGAATCGAACCCAGGACGAGTGAACGCTTTAACCACAAGGCTACCCGACCGCCCCCTTTTCATCAAGCCAGATAAAGTTGACTCATGTTTGTCACTTTCCAAATAGCATGTATCACATAGCAAGGTAACTGAGATACGTACTACATTGTGACATGTATATTGTACAGCCCAAGGTCGTACAGAAGCAGTCTACAATTGCAGGTGTCATCACCACTTCTTCTCATCACTTGAAGTTGGGTGAATGAGTGAGTATGATTTTACGCCGCTTTTAGCAATATTCCAGAAATATCATGGCGGGGGATACCAGAAATGGGCTTCACACATTGTACCCATGTCGGGAATCGAACCCGGGTCTTCGGCGTGACGAGC